CAGCCGGAAAAACAAACAAACGCACTACTAGTTTTATGAGGAGGACTCATTTGGGAGCGAGTATAAAGTCTGAATTTCTTTTTGATGCCTCGAGGGTTGAATGTTTTTCTTTCTTGTGAATCTTAATAAATCCAACAGTTGAGTCAGGTCCTCAACGTTTCGTCTTCATCCGAAAGACTTCATCAGTTCGAGAAGACACAACAAACTCAGTGTTATAAAGAAACTGACAACTTTGTTGGATTTTTCTACCTGGATTATTGAATCAGAATCTGGATCAAGTTCCTGAGAGTTGTTTGGAGCAGATGCAGCGTGGCTGTCACTCTGATCTCCGTGTGTTCACTGGACTGACAGGCAGAGCAGCTTCTTTATGTTCGGCTCTCAATCCCAAGTTCTGCTTCAGTGCTGTTTTTGTCTGGATTTCTTACAACTGGGAATTTTCATTCCAAGTTCACACAGGCCTAATGTGAGCCAGAGAACCAAAACCTGAACCCTCTGCGAATGTGAACACGTCCAGGTTTACGACTCGTCAAAGACAACAGGAGCAACAGGAAACAGAAACCAACCTGTTGGCAGTCCGGACAGATTAAAACATAAAAAATTGTCATATTTAATGCCAAGAGCGCATTCGAAAACTCAAGATCTGAGATTGTGGGACACTTTCTGAAGTCCAAACCTCGGTGAATCAGAGCTGAATGCTAACAGAAGTTTGAGCTTGAAATGTTGTGAAAAAAACTTCTTCCTGCAAAGGCTGTGGGACTTTAAAACAAAAATAATTTAAAAAGTAAAATCCACTTTCACTTGAGTCAGTATGTCAGAGTTTAGGTGAAATTACACGTTTTATAAATGCTCCTGTTGACAAGAATAAAATCACCCACTGATGAAAATCTAATTTACATAAATGCTAATCCGGTTAGCATGATTGAATCTGTGGCCTTCAGAAAAGCACAAGGAAGGACTCTGTGTTCCACACGGGATTTATTAGATCTGCTGATCTTTATGTGAGCCTGGACAAAGATACACAAACATAAAATAGAGCAGAATAGACCTTTACCTGTTCATGGAACATTCACATTGTTGCTGCAAATACTGATCAAGATAAAAATAAATAGATGCCAAAAACGCAACAAAGGCACAAAACAGAACAAAATAAATTATATTAGTAAGGAGAGAATTCTAGTGCATAAAGGTCCAAACTCAGCCTGGTGAGAAGAATAAACTTTTATTTTAATTTAGAAGACTTTCAGAATAAAACAAAACAAAACAAAAAAAATGGTGAAAGTTACAAACTGAACATAAAAAATAAAGTTTCCTAAACAAAACTATAAGAAACAAGAGAGCGGAGTAACAACAAGAAACAAAGCTTCACACTAAATTGTGACTTAAAAAAATATATAAATAGGAGCTGATTCTTGTGAAATAAAATGACCTCAAAGCTAAAAATAAACAAAAAAGGAACAGGTGTTATTTTATAATTAAAATTGCTGCTTTAAGACTTTTCAAAGCTGAGACCATGAACCTCTTTTGGGTTTTCTGCAGCAGATAAATGTGTTGGTAAATGACCTTCAGCACAGATGCTCATATCAAACAGAGGAGGAGGAGGAGGAGGAGGAGGAGGAGGAGGAGGAGGAGGAGGAGGAAGACAAAGGAAGGAGGCTCTCAGGAAAGCTAAAGCCTTTCCGGATGTGTCTCGGCTCAATAAAGCGGTAATACGAGGGGCACATGAACTACACAAAACTCAGAGCTGACCAGACACAGATCAGAGACATTCAGCTGATAGAAAGAGAAACAAATCACAGTTTTAGCTGATCTTTGCTGTGAAGCTGAAACCATAGACAGTATTTTACTGACTTCACATTCTGTTAATATTTACATTTTCTTTTATGTTTGTCCACAAAGATTTGGCTATTTGAATAATTTGTCTATAAAAAGTAAAAAAAACTTGTATACTTTTCAATATTTAATTTGATAGACAAACATTTATAGTATGCTTCTTTTAGCTTAGCCTTTAGGTACAATTTAGCTAGTTTTAGCTTTGGGCTAAAATTGAGCTAATTATAGCTTTTGGTCATGATGTTGCTAATTTTAGCTTTTAGGTACAGTTGTGCTAATTTTAGCTTTTAGGTAAAAAAGTAGCTAGTTTTATATTTGGACTAAAATTTAGCAAATTAAAGCTTTTAGTCATGGTTTTTCTAATTTTAGCTTTTAGATGCAGCATTACTAGTTTTGCCTTTTAGCTTTAGTTTGGCAACATTTTTAGATTTTAGCTACAGTGTTGCTGGTTTTACCTATTAACTATGATTTAGCAAATTTTAGCATTTAGCTACAGTTTTGCTAATTTTATGTTTTTGCTATGGTTTTGTTATATTTAGATTTTGACTATGATTTTAGCTCATTTTACCATTTGATTATGGTTCTAGTTCTAATTTTTGCTCTTAGCTACTAATTAGAAAATTTAACTTTATGTACATTTTTGCTAGTAGTATTTTTTTTTAGCTAATTTTAGCATTTGGCCAGGATTTTGACAAATTTAGTTATTAGATTCCTTACAGCTGGTTTTAGCTTTTAGCTCACATTGCTAGTTTTAGCTATGATTTAGGTAATTTTAGAACGTATTTACAGTTTTGGTAATTTTACCTTTGTGGTATGGTTTTGCTAGTTTTAGCTCTTGGGTAAAGTTGTGCTAGTTTTTGATTTGGGCAACAATTTTGCAAATTTTACCTTTTGAATAAGGTTTTGAACGTTTCTCTCTGAAGTGAAATATAAAATCGATCAGAAGTCAGGAACAACTCCAGCCTAAAAAAAAACCAACCTGGATCTTTTCAGCGCGTTACAAAGCGATGACTAAACGTCGTCTTTGTGACTTTAAATCTGTTGTCACGTTTCAACAGAAGGGTTCGGCCCCTGACAGTAAAAACGAGCCATTACTGTACTTTTACCGCCACTTCCTGTCTGCTCGACGCAGAATAACAGACTAACAGCTGGAGGTGTGAAATTCCAGTCATGTTTTCCTCACGCACGTTTTAAACGCCTAATTTACTAACAGATGCTGCGCCCCGGGGAGCTGCTGCGGGGCCCGGATGTTGGGCTGAGCTGATTCGTGTGGAGTTACACGAGGCAGAAAATGGAACAGGACTGAAAGTTGACGGCTGAGCGTTAAAAGAAACAACAAACAAGTAAAGAGTCGACGTTTAAAGAATTTAACAGAACTTTAATCAACCGTTTTCAGATGATTAAAGCTCTGTGTCGGTTCAGTCACAAATCAGAGGCAAACACAAGTTGGGAAAAAGGTTGAACATCCAAGAGAAGAAAATAATAAAAAATATTTATAAATCTTTAACTGTTAAGATGACAGAAAACAGTCATGGGCTCATAACTGAAACTAGAAAAATGTTAATTTTCTGGGAAGATGCAGCGTAGATGACTGATGAAAAAGGTGAATGCGAGCAGTTTGTTCATTTTTTTTAAAAGAAGAAGAGAAACAGAGCAGAAAATGTGCATCAGAAGACAAACAAGGATACATGACAAAAAGTAAAAAAAGAAAACATGAACACAAACCACGACACAATGAACCAAACAGAGCAAGTACGCTGAAGTCAATTTTAAAGAACAAAGATTCTGAAAGATTTTAAATACTTAATACATTAAAATGAGGAAAAAAAAGAAATATTTCAAAAAGTACAAAATTAAAAAAATTCAAAAGCTGGAGCCACGATGTCCTGAAAGCTGAACGTTCCGATACTTGAGCAGCTGAAATGGCTTGAAGAATACTGAGGTACAGGTGCTGAGTCAGCATCCACACAATGCTGAGTCAGCATTGGATACATTACATACAGTACGTTTGGCAGTACTGAAGACATCAGTACTGGTAGAGTACATGAATATTAGCTTTGTGAGTGTGCACCAGCTCAAATATACAAGTTAAAAACAAACACATTTCTTTGCAACTTTGTCAAAACATTTAGTATTTTAGGAGAACAGCATAAATCTCTTCCATGAATTGAAATGAGGTAGAAAACATAATTTACACTGCAGATCTTTGGTGATGTGCAAATCCAGCTTGAACGTTTTATCCCCGCAGGAAACACCATGTTTGAACTTGAAAATTAAATGTTTTCTAAAAACTCGGGCTTGATTTTCCCCACAGGCTGCCCGATCAAAATATGACTTAACTGAATCTGTCAGCAGAGAACTGCTGAGTCATGTCGCTGTTTGTTGCATTATGGTACTTAAATAGAGATGTACAGTAGTCCCTCGCTACTTCGCCGTTCCACTTTCACGGACTCGCTCTTTCCTGGTTTTTCAAAGTAAGATTGGACATGACACACAACTGGCTGATTGATGGATGAGCCACACGAGCAGCATGGATTGTTTATTTAAAATCAATTTTAAATGATTTAGCACCTGCTGCACCTGTGTACAGCCCACAGGTGCAGGTAGAAACTCCCTCCTGCAGCCTGTCATGATCTCCACTCTCTGCCACCTGCCAGCGATTGCAGGAGAGATGTGGGCGTGGCCAAGAGTGCTGGCAGGTGGCAGAGAGTGGAGATCATGACAAGTCCATGCTCAATAATCCAGGTATACAATCCAACAATTTTCAGTCAGGTCATCTGGACAGTTTCAGATGACCTGACTGAAAATTGTTGGATTACTTGTACTGCTATCCCTACTTTGCAGTTTTTCACTTATAGCGGGGGGGCTGGGAACAGAACCCCTGTGATAAACAAGGGACTACTGTACTCGTTTTTTTTACCCAGAGGCACTTTGATCTCAGTTTGACGCTTTTAACTGTAAAACGTCGCAGCGACTGATTCATCGAGCTGAGGATCAGACTGGAGGAGCAAGAAAGGAAAAAAAAAAAGGTTTGAAATTGTGTGCAAGAGTGAGAATAATTTAAACAAGATTAAAGTAGGAATGTAAAAAGAAAACCCTTGATAAAACATATTAAACACTGATAACTGGTAATGAGGTAACACCTTCAGGAAAGTCTTCAGTGAGCGCGCTCAGAAGAGCCCAGTGATCTCCTCGGTGACCGGGTCCAGGTCTATGTCGTAGAAACAGGGTCGGGTGGGGAGGCCCGGCATGGTACTCATCTGACGGAGGAAACAAACAAAAACAAGATAAAAGTTATAAAGATATCAACTTTATGATGAGCTGTTTTAATGGATAAACTTTAGACTTATAAGAAAGTAAAAAAATCAGTCACTCATGTCGACTTTATATTGACAAGTTTCCACTAAATACGTTATGAATTCTTTTAATTCTTTCACATAATTCAGGAAGAATACGTCGATCTGTCTTTGATTTTTGGCACGTCTCATAAATCTGTCAAAGAATCATATGAAAAGGGGAGATTACAATCTAAACAAGAACAAAAACCACAGATTAAATCCTTCACCACAACACAGCTGTTCTAAAACCAAAGAAAAGCCCACACCTCGGCTTCAGTACCCATAATTAGACGGAACAGGACCAGCTCCAGTATCAATAATCCAGACTCGTTTAGATCTGTGAGGCTTTGTTCTGACTCCAAACAAGATTAAAAGCAAAAACAACTGGACTTTATGTGTAACTGAAGACGTTTCGCTTCTCATGTGAGGAGCTTTCTCAATTCAAACAACAGAGAGTGTGAGGTAAAGTGAGCTAAACTAGATACATATGCAGATTGCCCTATCAGTCCTCACAACAGGGGTTCGTTATGGTCTTTGTTAGTCGGAATCACAGAGTGAAACGTCTTCAGTTACAAATAAGTCCAGTTGTTTTTGCTTTTAATCTTGTTTGGGTTTACCAAAATGACTGAGAATCGTCACCATCGTTTGTTCCGACTGTCGACAAAACGCCCAGCTGACGGGCAGCAAGTGGGTCACGGTGCTGATCCTGACCAGAACTAATGGATCGACCTCAAAACTTCCTGTCTGTCAGAGGATCACACCCGAGTCTGTGTCCGACACAGAGCAGCTCAGAGAAACCATAAATCCAAACAGGAGAGACAGCAGATTTGAAGTGAATCAAATTTTTATTTTTCAGTCAGTGACGGAGGAGGATGATGGACCAGATGTTTACATACACTGCGTACAAAGACAGAACTGTTTTTCTTATTTTCGGACTGTAAGTCAGAATAAAAGGTCAGTTATGATTCCAAAAAAACATTTTTATTTGCTAAATACCTGAATAATGAGAGAGAGAACTTTTAATCATTTTAAAGTCACAAGTGGACATGCTTTTTTAAGTGTTTGTTAGAATTATCTTTAAATTGTCTGATTTGGGTCAAACATTTTGGCTTTTCTTCCACAAGCTCCTTACGGTAGTTTGTTGGACTTTTTGTCCATTCCTCCTGACAGAACCGGTGGAACTGAGTCTGACTCGTAGCTTTTTCAGGTCTGCCAGCAGATTTTCTCTGGGGCCGAGTTCAGGTTTTTGTGATGAACTTTTTTGTTCTGATAAAACGTTGTAACTAATTCTGCAGTCTGCTTCCTGATGTCCTGACGTTGCTTCAAAATGTCCATCATGTTTTCCTCATGATGACATCTAATTTGTCTCTCCTGCAGCAAGACAGCCCAACACCCCCACAACTTGACGCTGCCACCACCTCCATACTTCACAGTTAGGTCCATGATCTCAGGCTTATCCTTTTCCCTATAAATGTAACAGCAGTCATTGTGGCCAAACAGTTACATTTCTTTTCATCAGACCATGGGATTTCTCCAGAAATTAAGGCCTTTGTGTGCATTTAGAAACTGAAATCTGGATTTTTATGGCAGAACTTGCCAGAACTTTACTACCGAACTTGTATCTCTGTGGATAACGACTCTCTGACTCTCTCTTCACAAGCTCTTTTACTTCTGTTTTGGAGTTATAGTCCCTCGCTACGTCACGGTTCATTGCGGACTCGCTCTATTGCGGTTTTTCAAAATAAGATTGGACATGACACACAATTGGCTGAGCGATGGATGATCCACACGATCGGCATGGAATTTTTATTTTGAATTAATTATTTTAAATTATGGGCAGCACGGTGGCACAACTGGTAGAGCTGCTGCCTCTCAGCGAGCAGGTTACCCTGGTTCAAATCCCGGTCCGGGGGCCTTTCTGGGTGGAGTTTGCATGTTCTCTTTGTGCATGCGTGGGTTTTTTCTGGGTACTCTGGTTTCCTCCCACAGACCAAAAACATGCATGTTAGGCTGATTGGTAACTCTAAATTGTCCCTAGGTGTGAGTGAGAGATTGTATGGTTGTTGGTCTCTATGTGTCCTTGTGATGAACTTGCGAACTGTCCAGGGTGTACCCCGCCCCTCGCACAGTGATTGCTGGACATGGGCACCGGCGACCCCCGTGACCCAAAATAGAAGAAGCGGGTAAAAGATAATGGACGGATGGATTTTAAATTATTTAGCACCTGCTGCGTCTTTATGCAGCCCACAGCTGCAGAAAAAGCTTCCTCCTGCTTTGAGCAGCCCATGCTGCAGGATAAACTTCCTGCTGCAGCTGATCAGCTGTTTCACCTGCAGAGCGAGAAGTGGGCGTGGCCGAGACCGCTTGCAGGTGGCTGAGTGCAGCCGTGGCTGAGAGGAGGCAGAGAGCTAAAATCATGACATTCTGTGCTCTTTTAGAGCATTTAGAGTTTAGAAACATTGTTTAGAATATTACAAGAGTGTGGGAAGGGTTTAAAATACATTAATATATGTATATATTGTAGATAAATAAATAAACTACTACTTACTTGTACTACTATCTCTACTTCGCGGTTTTTCACTTATCGTGGGTCTTCAGGGTACGGATCCCCCGCGATAAACGAGGGGATTACTGTAATACGAACATTTCGCACTGAAAGACGTTTGTCTCAGAGCTCTGTAAAACTGCGCTGAGAGACAGCGGAAACTCTTCCCAGAATCAGTGACATCACGAGGCGCCGGAGCACAACAATGAAGACTGACGAGACACTATGGCTAACATCACTCACTGTGAGTAAACTGGGCCCAAACTCTGAGTCAGTACTCTGTACTGTTTGTTACATCAAAGGAAACTGTGTGACTCTTAAAAACGGGCCACGCCGTCCCGTCCACGAGGAACAGGAAATGATCTTGTTCATTAGACACACAGGAGCATTCTTCACATGCCTCCCTTCTCCTGACCCATGGGCAGGTTTAAAGGGTCCATTAGTGGAAATGAGACAGGAGGAAGTGATCGGAGAGTTTCCTGTCAAAGGAAGTAAAGGCCTGAAAGTAAAGCAAAGAGTCGGCGTGCACGTAGAACGTGGACCTCGACCTATTAGCTGGTCGAGTGAGACTGCAACGTGTTTTACAAAAACATTACCGGCCGATCACTCAACTATGAGTCAGCTAAATGAGCTTTAAAGGATCTACTGTGGTGAGACAAATATACAGATTATAGAACAGGAAGAACAAACTTTAACTTCCCCCGTGCTGCAGAGGGTTTTACTGGACAGCAATGATTTTATCTCTTGACTTTGTAAAAAAAATAAATTAAGTTGCTTGCAGTTTCATGAGACACAAGGCTGCAGGAAGTAGGTGTGCAAAGGGTGCTGCAGCACCCCTTGATGGAAGCCAGAGGACATGCATGTCCAAATTCACAGTTAAAACAAAACAAAATGAATAAAACAGATTTAATCAGTTATGTTTAAATTCTAATAATATTTTGACAATGCTGAATTTCGTAAATCTGATTAAAAAACCAGAACAGTTTTTGGTCTGTGTGAAACGTTTCAACAACCTAAAAAGGGAGAAAATGCACAACTTAGCATTGGGTCATGAATGCAGTTCTATAGATATTAAAGCATATTTTAATGTCCATAATTAGATATGACAGCATGCTCTTCAAGTGTGCATTTCATTGGTTATATTTGGTATTTTAATATTCTTCCTACAGATGTTTAAGGTCATATAAAATCACACATTCTCACAGCACCCCCACAACTTATAAACAATCCCACCACAACAGAACTTTAGACTTTTTTTAAAGGCATACTAAACAGTTTGTCTATTATTAGAAAAATAAATAACATAATTCAGTAACAATACTCTTGAGATCGAGTACCTGAACATTTTTTTCCCACCTTCAGGAAATTCTGTTGGATTTTCATATTATTTGTTACATTTGATAAAACTACTTCATACTGATGACTCAATGCATCGTTAGAAAATATGTTTCATCTCAGAAACCTGTCCTCATATCAGTTTTGTTCCATTTTATCATTGCCAAAGAAGAATATTTATAAGATTATCTGTATATAGAGTGTATCTAGACAGGGATCATAGTATTCTTGTATTACACCAATCATAATTTAGATACTTATAATATATATAGTTGTAGATACTTATAATACAGTGATAAAGTATAATATTATATCCTAAAAAATAAGGTTTACAAATGCTTATTGTGCTCACAAGGTAGTAACTTAGTCTGAAATGTTTAATATAACAACTCTAGATAAAATATATAGGTTGGGCTCACTATTTGGCAACAAACTGGTCAGTTTTGCCTCTTTCTCACCCTTAATGCATAATAAGCAGTTATTAATGATTTATAAAGTGTTTATAGTGGAATTAATAACATATCTATAAACTATTAGCCATCTATAAGGGGAGCCTTATTGTAAAGTGGTACCATTTTTATTTAAGAAACTGTCAAGTATATCTATTAATGCACTACTACTTATACCCTTTTCACTTGTCGCTAGTGAACAGGTTGAGTTCAGATTTGTGAAAATGTACAAATTTGCACTGTTCGAGTGTTGTCATTGTGTTAGAGAGAGTAAACGTCATGAATAAATTTGACATTAAATGTAATCCAAGTTGAAGCGTTACATCATTTACAGCCCCCTTTTTGACATCTCTTCTTCTTCTTCAGTCTCTTCTTAAAACCCATCTCTTCTCCGTGGCCTTTGACACCATCTGACTTTTAACCATTTTAATTGCTTGTTTTATCTGATTGTATGTTTGTTTTTTTACACAACTTATATTATGTGGCTTTTAATAATTTTAATAATTTTTATTATCTGACCGTATGATTGTTTTGTTGTGTGTACAGCACTTTGGTCATGTAGGTGTTTAAAGTGCTCTATAAATAAAGCTGGTAGGGTATCTGTATATCACGTCAATATCGATATCGGTTGTTGGCTAAATAATTTTTAACATATCGGCCAAAAATCCAATATCATGCATCTCTAATTTTTATCAAGACTCCTCCACTTCATTTTTATTTAATGAAACATGGGCGACAAGTTGTCAGGTAATTTCACAATTCTTCAATTATACTTGATTTACAAAAAGTCCTTTTATTTTTCCTCACTTAGAAAAAAAAAGCAGATCTCAAATTTAAATATCAAAGCCCCCCCCCCCCCCCCCACCCGTGTTTTCAGCGATACAAAAGACGGGCTGTTTTGCCAGTCGCTCTGGCACTCGCAAAAAACACGCAACAGTCAGAGGCTAAAGTTGGAAACTCCACTCAGCCAAAGAAGTCCCTTCATTTTCCTCAAACACAATGTGGCTTTGTCGAGGAAAAGCCCGAAGGAGTGAATGCAGCTGGGCCTCTACCCCCCACTGACCTCGGACAAGTGTCGGTCAACAACAGTTTTTAGTTTCTAAAGCAAGACGTTAAAACTAAAATCAGCTCACAGCAACATCATGTGGTGCAACTTTTATATCTTTTACTTTTTTAATTGAGCAAACTGCAGAAAAAAAAAAGTTATTTTCCATTTAAATTTCTGGACAGAGATTTATTCACTCCAATAAATTAACTTTACTCCATCCTTTAGACAAACTGCAATTTGTTAAATCAGCTTGAAACGGTCAGAAAATCTGGCCTGAGGATGGAGTTTATGAACGTTGGAAGAGTTCTGGGTAAAAGGCTACGTTAATTCATTGTTCAACTTGTCGCCGCTCCTTGACATCCCTGCAGAAATACATCGGACTTCCTGGTTCTTTATCCTTTAGGGACCTCTAACCTTCCCCTGAATTTAAGACCCTCCTCCTCCTTATGGAGTGAAATCTTTTCACTTCTTTGAATCAAGCGTGACCTGAAGTTTTATTTGTTACCATTTGTTGATAAATATGCATATTTAGAAAAAGTAATGGTTGTAGCAGATTTTACTTTATGTGCCCTCACCAATAAAACTAGAACAATCTGAAAAGCTGGAGTGTGATGCTGAAGAGGTAGAACATTTCAGAGCCTTTTTTATTTCAGCTAAAATAACACCACTGTCTTCACACAATGCCACAATTCTCAGCTCAAAGACATTAAACAAGTCTACATTAGTGACCTTGCTGTTTTGATAAATGTCAAGAAGACTTATTAGTAGTGGTGCATCGATTGCAGTTTTCTGGCCAATCACCGATCACGATCTCTAAAAAGTCTGACCTGCCGATTCTGATTTTAACTGATATCGATTTTGTTTTATAAAGCCCTATTCTTTACCTAGGGACCACATGCTATTTGTAAAAATTACGGAGATCGTCTGTGTTGTTAATCCCGTGCGAATCGGCCATGTCAGTAATTTGTAAAGTAAAAATTCCCCCACAAATTACCTCCTATATTTTGCTGAACTCCGAGGTCCTGTGATAATACTAATCCAATGCGAATAGGCAGCTCTGTGATTTGGACAGAAATGGGCGGGATCTGATACGTAATTAGGTGGTTTTTGTTCCCTGGGCACATTTTTATTCGGTTTTGGCAATGGAGGCTGCATTGAAGTGCATAAATAAACTTGTGTCCTGGACCAGCAAAATGGTCGCCAAAAAAAAAAGAGAAAAAGCTGAAGAAAAGGAGCAAAATCAAGCGGATGTTATGCAATATGCAGCGCGTTAACATCATATCCGGAAGATGCCCATAAATTTCAGCTAAATCTCAGGATTTGGTTATCCTGTGCGAATGCGCCACATAAAAAGCAGACGTTGGGGAGTAATTTATTTGTTACATGTGGTCCCTAAGTAAAACTAATCCCGTGTGAATAGGGCTTAAGTGACACTGTCAGGTGTTATAAGGTCACAGTGCACCTTCAACTTTCCAATCTTATTTTATTGAAAAACATACCCTTGAACAATATCCTAGAAAAAATACAAACTTGTTTTAAGCTATGAGGTAGTGCTCTGAAATATAAATGAAGTTTAGACAATTGTTGTTAAAACTACAAAAAAAAAATTGGTAAAATCGGTTTCTCATGCAAGTATCGGCCGATCACCGATCACCCAAAATTAAGGAAATAGGGGACGATAAAACGGTCGGACGATTTATCGGTGCGGCTGTTTATCGTACACCCCAACTTATTAGTTTCAGAAGTTTTATCTAATCAGGCAATCTAAGGTACCAGGATGTGATTGTCTCAGGAAATAGGTACCAACTAGACATCATGTCTTGTCAGACATCAGTCAGCCAAAGAGTTCAGTTCAGAGACTTCCTTTGAGTTAGCAGTCATAGTTCAGGGGTTGTAGCTGTACCAGAGGATGATCAAAGACACACCAAAAAACTGCAACCTTTTCCCTGCATGGCCCACGTTTGACACCTCTGCCCCCCTGACTATCTAAACCGGACCCTGAGGGCACGCTGGTGAAACAGCAGGAGACAAAACACTCAGGAAGCCTCTTCCTTCCTGCCCGGCCCATCACTAACCGAGCAGCTCCAGAAAGCCTCTTTTGTTCAAACCAGTTATGTTGATGAAACAGAACCCAAACTACAAATTTAGTTTTTACTCCCAAAAATGTATGAAGAGAAACAACAATTGAATTCATAACTTCCCTAACTAACCAGCCGAGAGAAAAGTGTCAAAGCTGGATATTACAGTGGCAGGTGGCACCATCTAGTACAGACTGTGTCAGTGTCTTGTATGATAAAAACAATTCATAGCAGCCCAGCCAAATATCTTCTTATCTAAAAAGAAGAAAAATAAAAATACAAACTCACACTCCTTTATCTCTGAGCACAAGGTCAAGCCTGTGTGTTTGCAAACACTGCCCCTTTCAGTAGCAGGGGGTAGTAAGAGAACAGTAAAACAACTGAAAGTAATCAAACCCTAAAGTTAAACAAATCAGATAAGACAATATTATATATTATATATAATATTATATATTTATATAGAATATGTTTTTTCTTTTTCCTCATTCTTAAGGAGTCGCCACAGCAAGCAAACTCGCACAAAGATTTGGCAATTTGTTTTACATCGGATGCCCTTCCTGATGCTACCACAGACCACATGTGGAGCAGAGGGGAGCAGATGTGGGGTTAAAGTTAAATGCCTTGCTCAAGGGTCCAGAGCAGGGAAAAATGAGGGTGGAGGCAAATGAGTTTGGTTCATCTTTCCCACCAAAATTTTATAATAAAAAACTATATATATATATATTTTAGAAATTAGAAACAGCGTATCTCCTAGATGACTTGCCATGGCAGGACACTCATCTCGTCTGTGATTTTTGTCAAGTGGGGGGGGAGGTGGGTGGGGGGATGACAGACACATGTCTGAACTGTGCACTGTTTTTACCAACAGTTTTCTAGATGGGGGGGTTCAGTGAGAGGGAAGAAGCAGTGTGAGCGCTGCCTTTAGCTTTTTAGCTAGCGCGCCTGCGCCTGTATTGTGCGCTGATAGTTTAGTGCTGCATCAGGGACAACGGGGGTGGGGTGCGCACAGTTCGGTTCTGTTGACAGGGCGGGGCACCCTGCTTGTATAAAAGTAGGGGAAACACTGAGGAAAAACTGACTGAAAAAGTCTTTTGGATGAAAGACGAAACGTTTCTACAACTTTTTGTTTTTTGAACCCGTCCAGAGAACCTGACTTAACAGTTTTGGATTTTTCTACCTGGATTATTGAGCATGCATCAGGATACTGAGAACAATTGTTGTCATCAATTTGGTGACAGTAGAATAAAATAATGCTGGATGTGTTCAGGCCTCTGCCTTTCATTTCATACTAACTGAATGTTCTGAACAGGTTTGGAACAAGCCGGCTGCTTTACTTTTAACTTCAGGATCAAACGTGCATATGGGGGTGGATCATCTCTGAAACAAGTAAGGCTTTCCCTGGAAAAAGATGCAGATCGAGTGAAAGCCTATGTTGATCCTGTGTACGAGTATTAATGGTGTCTTATTACCGGTACCCTATCGATGTGCTTTAATTCAACCTTTATTTATACAAGGTTGAATTCAATTTATTGCGATGTGCTTTAATGTGCCTCCATACCAGCTGGGTGCTGGCCTTTGAGTGACAGGTTGAGAACAAGCAGGTAGGATGCTGCTTGTTGAAATCAACATTTTGCCTGTTGAGCTGTTTGGAGTGAAACACCTGTTGGATCATCACATAACTAGAGTTGCATTTTTTTCCTCTTTCTGTGTCTGTTTGAACACTTTGCAGGATTCATTGCATTAAAGTCCACTTACCGTTCCCACAAGTGGGTAGATGAAGCCCGCCCCAATGCTAGCTCGAACGTCTCTGATTGGCAGAACGAATCCAGTGGGTGCGCCCTTTTTGTCAGGCATGTGGGACAGGGACAGGTGGGTCTTAGCCATGCAGATGGGTAATGAACCATAGCCCTAGTTGTAGGGAAAACAAGGACAAAGGGTTTGATTTGAGTGAATGGAGAGACACAGAAGACAGGCGAAGGAGACTGGCTACATGACTCCTGTCAGCGTGAGTCGGTTATCGTTGCAGCAGTGATCTCACTTGTTGATTGTAGTAATCGATCTTGCTCTGGGCCTCTGGAGACAGCTCGATGTCATCGGCTCCATACACTTTCTGGGCTATTGTTCTGATCTTCTCCACCAACGGCATCTGTGGGAAAGACGGCGCATCAGCGACAGGTGGATACACAATGAAGCTGAACTCAAAGGGAAGTGCACAAATTAGATTTGGTGAACTGGGAACACAACTCGGTGAGACGGGTTATGTTTGAAACAGGTCTCTCAAAAATGAAACCAAGCGTCTCAATTAGATCACTTACAAAAATAAAGGTTTAGTAAAAAGAAAAATAAATGTTATGAAAGAAAAAGTCAAAAAGGGTTCAAGCTAATAAAGTTTGTTCAACACTGGGTTTTAATTCTGACACTCTTTATACAGTACAGGTTTAACTTCTAATGGTAAAGAAGCAACAACAACAACAAAAAAACAACCTCACTTTACTGACTTTATCATGACAAATAATAAATGCATCCAAACAAATGCACTTAGTATTTCTGGTAAATACATACAGTTGATGTTGTTTGATCTTTTCACTGTTAATAGAAAATATTGTGATTTTTTTGCTATCGTCAGGGAAAAGTGACAAAATAAATGTGCAGACATCCATAAAAATAAACTCTTTAGCGTATTTATAAATATTTTTTCCTCAATCAAGTATCCACGCTTCATTTTCAACTTCTAGCACTTAACAATAAAAAATGTAAAGAATGAGTCTTGCAACCTTTATTTGGTTCATTTTAATAAACGTTAATTCTAAGTTATTAAATCTGTACTTTATGTTGCCTTCTTGGTATGCAGACATGTGCATGCTGTAAACAGGACAAAGGACAAGCATTATGAGAAACAAGATGAGGAAATTAAAGTCACATTTACTAAATTTCTCTAACTCAAACCACCTGATGTTTTGTACTTCAACACATTTCTACCCTAAAAGTCAAGATTAGACAAAAACATCAAGGCACTGACGATCTGCACTCACCTCTGTGTTATAGAGGAACTGGAAGTTTGAGGGTCGGCGTGCCGCCTCGTTCACTGCCTGGGCCAGCTCCAAACAACCTCGGCCCCCCCGCGACCAGTGATGACACGGCACGGCGTCAGAAGCCCCGCACTCCTTCGCTATCTGACACACAAGGTCGATCTCTGCCTGGGTGTCTGTTCTGAAACAGAAAACAACTCCGTGGTCATGACAAAAAAAGTTGGTGTCTTTTAATCTAAAATAAATGGAGCAAAATAGTCAACTTTGTTTACAAAAAAAAAAAAATGTGTTGACTTTTAGTGGTTCCTTTTACTGAGTGTCCGCAAAGTTGATAACTGACGTTAGACTTTGTCGTTATTTAAAAACTTACTTGAAGACGTTCAGTGCCACCACGACAGGCACCCCAAACAGGTGAGCGATCTGGATCTGCTTTTTGAGGTTGCTACGGCAACCACCTGCTACCAGGCTCAGGTTCTAGTGAAGACATAAAAAGAGAACAACAAATTAGATTAAATTGTGGTATTTATATTGTGTAAAAAAGGTTTGGCTTGTGATTATTTGTATTAACGTTTAGTCAACTACAGAATTCAAAAGGCCAGCTTCTAATATTTCTGTTGTTAATATGATCCTGTTGTATGTTTTGATTTTATTGTATAAAGATAATTAATAATAAACTGAACAATACAACTGAACAAACTACCTTGAATAGTTTGCATCTATAATGACTGCACTGCAAAACAGAACTACTGCAGTTTGATGATTGAACAGCTTCATTAAATGCTTTATTTTAAGTTTCATTCAGCTGCTCATTCTTCAGGGGACACCACAGCGAGCGAACTCACATGAAAGGTTTGGCAATTTGTTTTACGCCGGATGTCGTTTCTGACGCAACATGGACTCGAACCCACAACCTCAGGATTGCTAGACCGTGACAATGACCACCAAGTTACCATGGCCTCAATATTAAATACTTAATTTTAAATGCTTAAATATTTTTTCTTTGTCCTCTGTTTAGCCGAGTGTCGAAGTAAATCCTAAATGAATCATAGGCATTGACACTCATCTAGTTCATTATCAATAAATATTAGTATTGATGTAGAATATGTAGCATCCAACCATGTACCATCACTCATATTCATTGTTTGCTACTGCATACAGGTAACAGAACAGATATTAAAAGCCACATAACATCACAATGTTTAACAAAGTTCAATCAGGTCATCTGGCTGGTTTCTTTTTTTATGTTGTTGAGACGTTTCATCCTTCATCCAAAGGACTTCATCAATCTGAGGAGCCACAACAAACTCAGTCCCACAAGCAGCACACTCACATAGTGGACTAACCAGTTTGCTGGTGATAAGATGGTTTCTGGGGCCCACCCTCTCCCCCATTGACTCCTCTAAGGCAGCTATAGCCAAAGTGGTTCAAAACATCAAAGTTCATGTGCAATAATCCAGGTAAAAAAAAAACCCCAACAAAGTTCAGTCAGTTCATTTGGACCGTTTCTTTTTTGATCCACTTTGGCTATGGCCGCCTCAGAGGAGTCGACGGGGGAGAGGGCGGGCCCAAAAAAACATCTTATCACCAGCAAACTGGTTGGTCCACTATGTGAGTGTGCTGCTTGTGGGACTGAGTTTGTTGTGGCTCCTCAGATTGATGAAGTCCTTTGGATGAAGGACGAAACGTCTAAAAAAAGAAAAGAAAAGAAAGAAACTGTCCAGATGACCTGACAACTTTGTTGGATTTTTCACCTGGGTTACTGAGCATGAACTTTGATCATATTGTTTAGCAATTTTAACTTTGACAATCTAAATACAATTTGTGTGCAGCCCCAGTAACTCCAACAAGTTGTATGAACTCATTTCCCTGGCCCCGTTTTCTGCAGTACTTCTGGTTTTTATTACAGGCCTCACAATTAACTTGAACTGCTTCATTATTTGCACAGCTGACTCTGCCTCAGAGTCCAGGGATTCTGGCCAGGTATGAACAGGCACGTTACACACACAAACAAAATCCACACCTCCTCTCTGCTGTGGCTCACATACCAGGAAACCACATGTTTTGTTTGAGTTGTTAATCAAATAACCATGTTCATGCGTATCTTTGTATATAGTTGGAGGATTGACTGTCTGTGAGAATAATACAGCGGGAGACCCGAGGCAAATTGGATTAAAACTTTTTTTTAAATGTTTTTAGTGGATCACACAAACTTCTTGAAGATGCTGAATGCTCACATGCTCAGTCTGATGCATGTACAGTCCTTTGACTGAAGAATGCAAGTGAAAGAACTCATAAAGAACATTGTAGGAACATAAAGCTACATAAAGAGGATTAACAACTACAACTATGCATGGCTACTACCAGGGCAATTAAAAACCAGATGCACAAAAAATGAGCTTAAAAGGCTTGTTTTCATGGTTACATCATCAACTTTTCACTTAACTAATTAAAACCAGCTTCTTTCACTTAATAAGTTTTGACCAAAAACCCATCAGCTCAAACACATTTTTGTGCTTTTCTAGTTTATTTATTTATTCATTTATTATTATTTTGGCATAGCATATCCTAAACTTATCTCACTGTTTGTTTGTGTTACCAAGCACACATGAATGGATTTATAAATATGAAATAAAACACATTATGGGTGTTTATGTGAAGTGACATGGCTCATACCTCATGAAGGTACTCTTTAGGAAGAGGTGTACCAGCTGACACCTAAAAAAACACACAAAGTCAACAAAACAACACAAGAGTATGAGTTCACATTCAACAATATGCCACATACTTTTCTACAGATACACAGAACTCTTGTTTTCTTGACTTGATATTGTCTTCATGACTTAACACTTTAAAATATTGCCAATATTGAGGGGCGTTTTTAATGTACTGAGAACAACAAGACGTGCCAAGAAATTTAAAATCCTTTAAAATGAATGCATATTGCAGAACTATTTATTTATGGATTGATTCAAGATCTATATACAAGACCAGCTCGCATGATCATGTACAGTGGTGCTTGAAAGTTTGTGAACTCTAAAGAATTTTCTATATTTCTGCATAAACTTGACCTAAAACATCATCAGATTTTCACACAAGTCCTAAAAGTACATAAAGAGAACCCAGTTAAACAAATGAGACAAAAATATTAGACTTGGTCATTTATTTATTGAGGAAAATGATTCAATATTGCTAACTGTTAAATAACTGCTAACCCTGGCGGTTCACATACTTTACCACTCACAAATGTGTAATATTGGATCATTTTCCTCAATAAATAAATGACCAAGTATAATATTTTTGTCTTATTTGTTTAACTGGGTTCTTTTTATCTACTTTTAGGACTTGTGTGAAAATCTGATGATGTTTTAGGTCATATTTATGTAGAAATGTAGACAATTCTGAAGGGTTCATAAACTTTCAAGCACTACTGTATATGATCATGTGTTCATGAGGGCTGGACGTAAAAGTGTTGTGTTGCTTCTAAGTTCATGAATAAACTCAACAGCAAACTTGGAATAAACTTACAAGAGTCATTCTTGGTTGAAATGTACAAAAAATAAAAATAAATAATAACGGTTCCGTCTCCTTGTCAAGCATGTTGTTGTTGTGTGCACACGTGACCGTACCACAAAACAGTTCATGTTGTTGGAGAACTTAAACCGCTGATTATTCATTTGCTTCTAAATAAAAATGGGTTTGCACAAGTCACGGCACTTTTATACAGTTTGTAACAAGAAAATGATGGAAACAAAGAAAAAAGAAAAGCTGAACTTACATTTGGGCCTCCGCCGTGCATCTTCAGTGCTCGGACAGTTGCAACCAGCACCACCACATCGGGCCTCAAACCTGAAGCTCGGCATTTGATGTTGAAGAATTTCTCCATCCCGATGTCTGCTCCGAAACCAGCCTCAGTCACTGACAGAAAACAGACAGAAGGTTTTTACATGTGGCACAAATTTGTATACAGATAAGCTTCAGGCAAATAAAAGAATGTTTCCATAGAAAGGGTGACCTGAAAATGACCCAATCATCTGTTTAAAATCCTCTCTTGTCTCCTCTGTTTTGTGTTTAAATACCAAGCTTGACCAATGTTGACCTCAGTAAAAATGTGCATAAACACGTGATCAGACTTCACGAAGAGTGATGGGTGTAAGAGGTGACAGCTTTCTGTCTGAGCAGCATCTTGTACTAACGGGAACACTGTAAGAGCTCTCAAAAAGACAGAGGGTCTCTGATTTGGACAGCCCCTCACAGGGACCTCTTGAATACAAACCAAACAAAGCGAGCAGTCCACCTGGAATGTTGGCTTTGTCAAAATGCAGTTTCCTCTTACCTGTCATTTGTGAGTGTGTACGAGTGGGAATGTTTGCGTTTTTACTCAAGTCAATCTTACTTTGAGCATTCCAGTTTGGGCCTACCATTACGTGTTTGACATTTGACATGTTTAGTGGTGTTTCAACAGCTTAAAATGCACTTTTCTTGCTGGAATGCAGTCACTTCAGCCTAGAAAAGCAAAATGTTACCCTCTATGTCACTGAAAAGGTCAGCTAAAGCCTGAAGGAGCAACATAATGTTTCGTATTATTAGCAAATTAATATAAATAGTCACTCTCACTAGACTTTACAAATCACTGAAAATGAGCAGCTAAACTGATTGTACTGCAGGTAGTTACTGTACTTGTAATGCCTAATGGTAAACATGTTCTACAGTAGGGGCAGCTATACATTTGTTTTTGAAATAAAAGTTGAAATGAACAAAAGTATGAACTATACAGGTTTAGTTTGCCAGTATTTGTTACAAGTGATGTCCAGTTTCAAGCGTTCTGAACTCTCTCACAGAGAACCAATGAAGCTCCGTGCATTGTAGAGTAATATGTGAATGACACATTTTAACAGCTTATGATAAGATTATTAAAAGCTGAACTATTCATGGCTTAAATCTTTGCATCTAAAATAGATCTATAAATCAAAGTTTACTAACAAATATGTCTTCAGAAAAAAAAACCTTTGTCGTCTAACTCTTATAGCTTCATTTAAATGTAACCATTTGTCTCTGCCGGCTGCAATAATGCCAGGAAATCCCTTCGTATAATTTTAGGTGTCATTGTGAAGCTTGGGGTTTTCTCTTTTTAAATATAGATCTGGAATTGCAGATAGCATCTCTCCTGACCAAGAAAAATGGAGTTTTCAAACCAGCAGTCTCTTAAACCAAAAGTAGCTTTTCTCTAGCCAGGAAATCACTAAATTTCAATCAAGCTAAGATTTTTGAAGCTTTTGAGATGGAGAGCTTACAAATAACAACTCAATAAAATAAATTCCTCATCGTGACAGACTTTGCCAGCATGGGTCACACAGTAGTTTCTTGCTACTTTGCGATTCGACGTTCGCGGACTCGCTCTTTTGTAGTTTTTCAATGACTGTCAACTTTAATATTACTAACGTGATTGGGACGGTATTGGATAAAAAGTTAACCAAAAAATAAACTTTCAGACAGGCGCTGCCATTTTGTAGTTTTCTTTCAATAAGCCTAAACGGCAACGTCAGTCAAAAGAACTACACTACCCAGAAGCCAACAGTGCTTTCGGCTGCTGCTTTCTGCTGAAATGGAAGGAAAGTTTTGCAACACAAAGTCAGAAGTAGCAATCGATCTATGAAGCTCACAGAACTGGCAGGAAAGTCGCAAATATTCCTGAAGCTCAATTATCCATGCGCACTCAACCTGGACGGGGCAGTGGGCTTCGTCGCTGCAGGGTAGGTCTGCAGAACTGGAACTGAGCTGTTGTTCTGCAGAGCTGGTGCGTAAAATTTTGCAGTACTGTACAGTACAAATACATATGTTGTTAAAATTACATAGGTTTAAGATTTTAGAACATTGCAAGAGTATGGGAAGGGTTTATAAAGCCTTAAAATATATACTAAAATAAACATAGCGTTCCTACTTTTTGGTTTTTCACCCATGGTGGTGGTGGAATGTAACCCCGGCAATAATCAAGGGACTATTGTCATGTGAAATTAAGTACCATTTTTGTGGCAATTGTTAACCAGTGACACTCATATTCACAAAAATATTCATTGATTTAAAGGAATAATTTAATTTACATATAAACTGGGGAGAATTACTAAACATTTGTTTGCTTGAATGAGTTTATTCCTTGAATACATTAAAATAGATTAAATTTATAATCATACTCCACAAGAGCATTCATTGGATTCATCTCCAACTGCAAAACAATAAAAATGAAAAATCAAATAAACCTCATCCCTTTATCCATCCTTTTTTTACCTGATGATGTCATGTTGAGTCATTTAGAGATGGTGCTCATCTCCAGAAGAATACATAAGGAGTTTGCATCACACAAACTCTCTTCTTGTAGAGTTTAACATATAAATGTTTTTATGCTGTTGAATGTCTATCTGCTTAGAGAAACACCACTTACTTACAGGTAAAAGGTAAAATATTTAAATCAATTGAAAGTGTGCGCACAGATTAAAGAGAACAATTCCAAATTACAACATAGTTTGTTTTGTGCCATTTCATGTGATAAACTGCTTCATTATTAACTTTCAGAAATGAAGAAAAACAATAATTGTAGCTTAAAGCATGTATGTCTGGCTTTTGATAAAGTGTTTCTTCTTTAAGTTTAGTGAGTAAACAAGGGTTTTAACTTCATTTTGATTCTTTATATTGCCAAAGAAAGATTAATTTCATGGAATAAAGAGGAAAGAAAGAATTACAAAGAGCTATGAAATTAAACTTCTGTGAACAAATATTTTTAATGCCTTTAATTAGGAAGCCTACATTTTAAACTGGCCTGGATTTTGTATTAATGTTTGGATATTTACCAAGAATAAAAAACGAACAAAACAAAACAGTGACAACATAAAGTGTGTAACATCTGTAACCTCAAACTTTCCACTAAAGGTTTACACGGAGCATGAGAGTGACCTCAGAGGACGCAGTAAGGAAATACTTTTAAGTTTCCTGTTCTGTGTGACAACCCTGAACTGTGTGAGAGGGGGAAAGAGGGTCAGCGTCGTTGTGAGAGGAACAAAATTAAAAAAATAAACACGCTGGGAAGTGGTGGTGGTGGCAGTCAAAGCTCAAAGCGTTTGTATCAGAACGCCGAAGTGAGAAACGTTCACAAGAACATTTATTTTTGTTTCACGTTATTTATTTGAAAGTTATTTCTCTGAATTCAATTTAACTTGAAGGACAGGTGATGGAAAACTACTCTTTGGTTGTTTTCAAGGAATACGTTTGTGTGATTAAAGGTCAAACTTAATTAAAAAAAAGAATGCAACATATGAAAAGTGTCCATTTCTTCCAACTTCAAATTAACTTAAAAAATAACTAGTCATATAATATTTCTACCCAAATGTTTAATAAATCCACTTTTGTTTTTAGCTCTGCTTTTGAATTCATGCTTTAACGCAACATTAGGGCCAGCCTTTCTCCCTCGACCCCCCCCCCCCCATCACCCCCTCAGAAGTGCTTTCTTTATTTTAGACCCAAATTCCAAAGCACACCGCAGCAACTTGAAGCACAATGAAGCATGACCATAACATTATTATTCCCACAGCCTTCTGAGGACACACGGCGTTCACGTACTTCCTTCAGAGACAAGGCTTTTAAAGACAAGCAGAACTGAGGAAGCATCATCAACTAAACAACTACAACCAACACTGACAGGAAAAAGTTAAATCAATGTTGAATGTTCTTCCTGAATATGGATGTTGCACATGGCTTAGTGATCATCGTTGTAGTGGATTTTTAAAACTTGGGACAGCAGAAACTCTACGTTTCTGGTCAAGTTTTTTTTTTTTTAACCTTTTAAAAATTATTTACAAATGATACTGGTGCTCGAAAGAAAAACCATCAGATATCTTCACAAGGACTTGGAGGGTAAGGATGATAAATCTGTATGTTTAACAGATGTGGAAAAATAAGGTAAATGCAGAGTGACCTGTTCAGGATGTATTCTTACTCTCACACAAACATTAGAGTTTGGAGAAAGACACCAGCTCCTTGCAACCCTGAACAGGAACAAACAGGGATAAAAATAGGAATGGGTGATACACAAAAGTGATTTTTTAGTTTTTCCAAACGTGCTTTTCATTTAAGCAGCCTTCCATCACCCATGTGACCTTTAGATGACTGCAGAATTAGTTGTTTGAAAACTTCCTCTTGATGGCTCATTCATAAACAGTAGTGGTTGGCTAAGCATTTCTTCAGGTTCTTAAAAAAAAAAAACATTAAAATCTTTTTTGGTTTGGAGTTTTCTCTGCTGCCTGAATGCTCCTGTGAAGAAAAACATTGGATCTGAATTTTCTCTGTTTGGATGCCATCTGTGGACTAAAGGAGTCTGACGTCTTTGGTGTCGTTTTGATTGTACGAGCATCAGTTTTTATAGAAACAATGTGCCACAGAAAAATAGATGTGATCGGGATTTGATTTTGATTTAAGACAAAAACAAGACACTTCTACAACTGAATCCTGTTAAACTGTATTATGTTAAACTGTGTTGAGCTCACAAACTTTAAGAAAATGCACTTTTATCAATATTATGTCAGTCTGCACAATCATCAGAACGCTGTTTTCCTGATCTATTACACACAAAGGGACCTTCAGTGGCAGATTCTGTTAATGTTTTTATTCCCTCTGAACTTTTGTTGCTCTTTTACATTTTTCTGCTAAAAGAAAGTAAAGCAGCTTGATTGCCCACAGAGGAAAAAGTGGAGTAAGAGAGAGAGGGAGTGCGAGGAAACATGAATCCATGCTGCCCTGTGAGAAAAAAGAGGGAGGTCGAGTTCCTGGCATATCTGAGAGTTAGGTAACAAACATATGGACAAGGGAGGGAGCAGGACAGACAGATGGAAAACGGCTGGCGTGGGGAGGAGGTATAAAACACACGAGCTTCTTTAGATCTTACCTAAACGTTGGGAAATGTAACTCTCTACCCACGCTTGACAATCTCACAGATGATACCTTGCACGCTGTGTACCGCCTTTCACAACTTAAAGATTTTTACAATGAAAACATTGATGAAATTTGTGTATTCGAGAGCTGCGTTCGCATCAAACACCCATAAAACCCACGAACTCACACATTCCAAACGTAGTTCCTCTGTCAAAATAAATCAAGAGAGAACGAGAGCAGCAGGACAGATGGAGAAAGATAGAAAGTTAAGTATGCTTTGACGTTAAAGGGATTAGTATAGTTTACTCTAAAGCATTCCACGGCCTCTTAAGATTATTAACTTGCTTCCTTCCTCTCTTCATTTTGTTGCCTCTTCCACACAATCTCTTGATCGGTTTCTTAGAAAGTTGCGCAGGAGCAGCAGCCTATTACAAAATCCCACCAGAGCCAGGTGGACCAGAGCCAAGACAAGAAGTAAGATGAATGTACGACAAAGGTTGTATCATCTGGCGAAAAGTCGCCACTAAGGTAAACTACGAGTTCTAATTTAATCTAGAGGTTTTCAAAAATCCACTCAGCTCAACAGCTAACATCTCATCCCTAAAGATTTTGTGGTTGTGCATCTAATCTCACCCACGAAGCCGTCCCGTCCAACCAGCTTCAAAGCCAGCTTGTCTGCCAGCACTGAAGAGTTGCCATGGGCGATGTTGGCAAAGGGCCCAGCATGGACGAACACTGGCGTACCCTACAAAAATTATACACACACAAACAAAATCAACAACTTTCTGTCATGTTTCAAGATAAATATCCACGTTTATATGTACTTTGGCTGGCAGGGTGTTTGTTCAAACAGTAGGCGCAAGTTAGGAGGTACTTGACTGACATTTCAACCTGAATTTGAGCCTGTTTACATTCTCCACTGATGCAGAACGCTCCCTAAAGGCTGCAAATAAACACAAATTAAAAGGATCACCTCAAGTGCCAGGTTCTCCATCTGCCGTGCACATCATGACTCGACTTACAAAAAAAAAAAAAAAACAACCTCCAAACAGAATAAAATAAAGAAACTTTTCTCACTTCATAAAGGCAGAGCAAGAAGTTTTGTTTACATAGTAAAATTATTAACATACTGATCGTATTTTAGGATCTTTTTTATTTTTATTTTCAATACATAGTGCTACATTCAATCATTTTCTTAAGAGTTTGCAGAAATATTCTCTTTTATGTTTTGATTTTCTGGACTAAAAAAAATAGAGCGATGGACGTAAATCACACGGGGGGGAAAAATAAAATAAAATAAAAGGATTTTTGTTGCTTCAAAAAAATTCCTTTAAAACCTCGGAATAACTCACATTTATCTCGTAGTTTAAAACCTGCTTTCACAAGAAATTCCATGAAAGAAAACAACCGCTAATAATAAATGGTTGAATCTTCAAGGTCAAAGTACGAACGCAATCGTTTCCGACTCTAAAGACAGCTGCTTAGAAAACTTGATATGAAAACATGGGAGCCAGCTGACACATTGTTAAACTGAACGTGAATTCCTTAAGAGATCGGAAAAAGGAAGGACGACCCAGTATGATTTTGAGACTTTGTTTGCATTCCTCACCGTCCTCCAGCATAAACAGCCTCCTCTCAGAGGAGTAAATCAACTGCAAAACAAGACACAAGGAAAAGCTGCAACTTGTCTCCTAATCTGGGCAAACCTGAGGTGTGACTCACAGCAGAAGTACACGATGAAAAATTACGGCCTAGAACTCCTTCAAGGAATGCATTTCACATGCTGCCATTTATATTCCAACTGAGATCACCTTAAAGTGAGAAATGAGCTGTAGCCATTTTAATCCAACCCTGGATTTAATGTTACGTTCCATCTCGTACAATATTGCACGATATAGCTCAGAGTGTGTTGTGACTGACTCTCAACTCCTACCACACCAGATTGTAGCTCAATATATGCTGCCTCTCTTGTCAGAATTTTAAACTATCTCCTCATGTATAAGCGCTTAAAATATGTGTTGAAGATAACGCTACAACTATAACAAACTGTAACACGATATCTGTAAAACTGACTGAATTACCATATTTTTCGCCCTATAAATCAAATTTTTTTGCATAATTTGCATGCCCTGCGACTTATATGCCTAAGCAACGTATTTATGGATTTTTTCTCATATTTATAAACCAATTTTTGCCTGAGATATGACCATTTTCATTCATTCCGACTGAAAATATTGAACACTACCAAGTGGTTAACTGGTCAACATTAGCCTCACGCAGACTGATACATTTTCATCTTTAAATCACTTCTCGGTCTGCTGCCTTCATTCATCTCCTCCTACACGTCTCTGCTCGAGTGCAGCTACAGCGTGCGATCTCAGGACATTATTACCTGCAGTGTTCCCTCAGGGTGGACTGAACTTGGCAAAATGGCCTTCTCCTACTCTGCTCCTGTTTCCTGGAATATCTTACAAAAAGACCTGAAGCTCTCGACCTTGACCTCTCTAAGTGACTTTAAAACTCTGTTAAGGTCCTGGCACAAACCAATGCAGACATGTTCCTGTTTTTAGTTTTTTTGTTTTCTAAATCGTATTATAATCCAGCCGTTTTTTTTTGTTGTTTTTTTTTGCTACTATTCCTCTTGATTGTCCTTTTGGTTGCTATTTTGTTTTGATTGTAAAAAAAAAAAAAAAGAGAGAAATTTAAATTTGTAGGCCTAATTTATGACTGTCTATTGTTGTCATTGTTATCCATTGTTGTCATCACTCTTTGTTAAGAAATCAGGTCTCTTGTAAATGAGTCCCCGAGGCTCAATGGGATTAACCTGTCTGAATAAAGGTTGAATGAATTAATTAATTTTCAGCCGCTAGATGGCACTTGAGCAGTATGACATGCCGTTGTATCATGTAATAGGTAAAAGTGGCTATTAACGACACAATCTGCTTGCCATAGATAGCCTGATACCGTCATCTGCCTGAAGCAACTGTCAAATCAGCTTCATTTCGCTGCACCGCCCCGGCGAAATGCAGCTAATTTGACCGTGGAAGTGCATTTATTAAGTAAAAGTTCAACTAAGACACACCTTTGCTATAAAGTCAAGCAAACAAATAATTGTTTTTAAATGGTTATCTTGTTAAATTTCGAAGAAATGCACAGCGAGTCAACCTCTTCGCGTTCATGTTTCCGCGTATCGGGTTTTGAAAATGCAGCTGATTTTCCCATCAATGTGCATTTATTAAGGAAAAGTTAGACTGAGACACACCTTTACTATAATTCCGAGCAAACAAATAATTGTTTTTAAGTGTTGCTCTTGTTAAATTGTTGTTAAAGTCCTCCCGTGCACGCTCCTGCGGCCGCCATTTGGCAGCCAATCGATTTTTGGCACAACACCGGCCCACGTTTCCGGGTTCGGCCCACATTTCCGGGTTGTCAGCGGTGACGCATAATAGATGAAACGTATACGGCAAAGCAACGTATTTATGGTTTTGTCCACTTTATTAGACATATTTGGATTGATGCAACTTATAGGGCGGTGCGACTTTTATGGCGGAAAATACGGTATACACATTTTTGTGTTGGTTAATGTCTAGTAGCTGTCATAGAAACCATGATTTGCATTAATTCTAAAAGTTAATCACCTGCTGATACATATCCACTGATCACTTTTTGTAAGTTTGATCAATATTCATACAGTGGTTCTTGGCATAGTTTGTATCAGGCACACACACATAAACACACACAGACGTGGGTAAAAATTTAATGATCTGCCTTCGCATTTCGGTGATTCGAGATAAGAAGGAAAAACTTTGGAAAATAAAAGGAATTAAGAGGACAAAGGACATGACAGGTTCTTCATTTTGTGCTAATATTCACCCATTAATAAATGGAAAGTTGACGTACGTCAGGCATTATGCTGGCTTCCATCTGTGATTCCAATCCCTGAACTTTAACTTCTTGTTCATTTTCACTCTTTCCACTTCTCCTCATAGGAACTATGCGAAGTACTAGTCAGGAAAATCCTCAGGAGCAACAGGGTTATAAAAAAGGGAATAAATTAATGCTACACGGGTCAAATCTCCAATTGTTGCACACGAAGATTATGAAAACTGGGAAAGAGAATAAACCAAACGGAGAGCTTGTCAAACGACTACATGTTAATAATCCCAGCTTTGATGTGAGACAGCACAAGGATTTAAACCAGACAGCTGTTTTAGCGCCTCTGCCCAGGAAATACACATTTAGCCGTTTTCTGAAACCCTGTGGAGAAAGGATGTTTGAAAACTCTGCAGAACATCCGGGGGTCTCCTGAACTGACACGCACACAGGTAGTAGCCTGAAAAACAATCCTTTCTTCTTCTGTTGTGTTGCTTTAATAAACCCTGTTCCATCTGAAACAGCTGAAGAGACAAGAAGGCGATGGCTTTCACATGCCAGTATCATTCCCACGAGCGCATCTGTATTTGCCACCGTGCAAAGTCAAGAGGGCGCACGGGGCACAGGCGGTCAAGCTTGATGGAAAATTCTCATGAAACTCTGAGGTCCGATTGGTCTCAATACTAGCTCCCTGACCAGAATCACAGGAAACCCACAGAGGAAACTGCTACACACAACAGAACTGCACCACTTCCTCAAAAAGAAAAAAAAAAAGCAACAACGCAGAAACCAAATCTTTACAGCAAACAAAACTCCAACCCAGAATGCACATAAAATACGACAGCCTGTGTTTATTTTCTCCACCTAGTCGATGTAATCACGCTTTCTGTTCAGAACCAACAAGGAACAAACAAACGCTAAACAGCAATAAGATAACAAACGAAAAACACAGAGTTAGCGGATGCAGGACTGCTAACAATGTAGCCATTGTAAACTAGAATTATTTAAATCAGTCCAACTGAGTTAAAACACGCAAACAGGTTTGTGCAGCAAGTTTTAGGCCTGCAACACCCTCTTTTAATCTTCATACAATAATACAATTAAAGAAATAATAGCTACACTGGCAACAACAAATTCATTGGTAAAAGTCATACAACTTAAAGAAAAAATAGAAATACATTAGCTTTAATGTCTGACAGCTCCATAAGGGTAGCTGTAATTTTTTTAAAGTGTCAATAAAATCAACAGCAGTAAGAAAAAATATCTAAATAGTTCCCTTTCTTGAAAGCTCTCAGCAGATTAGGTTTTACCCAGAAACAGATTTTATCTGTGTTGAGAGATTGTCAATCAGGCAAGATGTCAACTTTCTAAGTGAGGTTATGTTTGTGTCTCACCTCGAGGGTCTGCATCAGTGTAGGCTTGATGGCATCTTTCATCAACACAGCCAGAGCTCCACTCACACCCTGACAGAAAGAAAGTCAACTGAAGATTATCGCTGGAAACAGATATAGACTATCACAAGGCAAAAAGCACATTATTCCTTAAATGCATCTAAAACACTATAACGTTGTATGTGATAGAAAATAAATGTCATCTAAATCTGTTGAAAGCAACTGTTCCTTCTGTTTGAATATCAAGATTTTATCTCAGAGTACATAAAATCCTCACTCTGAAAACACACACACACACACACACACACACACACATATATATATATATAGATAGACAGATAGATAGATAGGGCTGGAACTTTTATCACGATATATTTCTTAATTTTGGTTGATAATGATATAATTTGATATTGATATAAACAATACAAAAGCCTCAGAAAAACTGTACAAACTGTATAAATAAATTTAATGTTCATCTTTTATTGGTATTTAGCCTTAAAAAAATTGAAATCACCGTTAAATAAACATAAAATTCTCAACTTTGTCAATATTAATAGTTTTAACTTTAAACAACAACATAACCTAACACATGCAGCAAATGTCTGTGTTTGCTGCATGAGTTTCTCTTTTGATACAGATGAAGGTGTTGTTTCAGGGACAGGTTGGCTCAAACTTTTATTGTTCTTCATCTTGTGACTCTCAGCATATTCTATCGAGTGGAAACTCTTCAGATGAAACGTGTTCCCACCGCTAGTTGCAACAACTCTCCGTCACATTTTGCAGCACACTGAAACCTGCAGTTTTTCGGATCTTGAGTCGAGTCAGGCTGAAGAGCAGCTGTGGAAAAGGGGCTTTAGATAGCCGAACCACTTCCACACCGCCAAATTAGTACACATATACGGGAGGGATGGAGATATGTCTCAGTGCAGCTTGTACAACAGTTTTTGAGCGGGGTTGTGGGGGGTGTCAGCATGAGGGAAGAGGAACCTTTAACTTTTTAGCTAGAGTGCCTGTATTGCGTGCCGCTAGCTTAGCATGACACGTTTGAGCTATGCACTGTTTGTACAGACAGTTTTTGAGTGTGTGTGGGGAGGGGGGGTCAGCGTGAGAGAAGAGGCAGAGTGAGTACTGCCTTTAGCTTTTTAGCTAGAGTGCCTGTATTGCGCGCAGCTAGCTTGGCGCTATGTGGGGGAGTTCGGTTTGGTAGGCGGGGTGCTCAGTTCTGTTGACGGGGTGGGGCACCCCACTTGTATAATGGTAGAGGAAACACTGATGTAAGATTGAAATATAAAATGCAATTATCAGCTTTAAAACTTGGTTGTACAGCTATTATATAAACTGCAATCAAGTTAAAAAAAAAAAAAAACAGTTCTAAAACTACAATTTGCCAGCCTAACCCTAGACTGAGCTCTTCCTCATGACATTTTTGTAAACACTCTTAGCTTATCTTTAAAAATCACTGACAAAATCTGCCTGTATGTAAACTTCTAAGCAGTCCTGTTCGGTGTTAGAGACAACAGGCAGATACGTTGTCACACTGCCAGCTAAAATAATGTCTTGTTTTGTTTTTCAGGTCCCAGCTGAGCTCTCTGAGTTTCCATGTTTTTCTTGTAAAAGTGGTGTTTCTTGACATTGTTGTGTCCAGCCAATTCATAAATATTACCGAGACTACTTTAATTAAAAACTCGTTTTTCACCAAGCCCCATTTTTTCCATTACAAAATCTCAAACAGCTGCAGGTTTAGGGACAGGAAGAGACTTCCATTTCTTTAAAGCTATAAATAATAATCACTAAAACTAACTCAGCCTGTGAGCACCAACTGGGAATTTATCTTCATCTTGGGTTGAAAACCAGATGAAGCTTAAAGATCTGTTTCAGTTGGTTGACATTTCAATCAGCTAAAACATGGCTGCAAAAAAACAAAACAAACTGACTTGAATGGACTGCAGACATTTCTCTAAATCCTTATTTTACAATATTTGTACTTTGGCACATTGATGTACTTTAAATTTTATGAAAATACTCAAGTTTAAGTTTAAAATAATCAAATTTAATTTTCTTAAAGCAAACGCTGGTGAAATAGATTATTAAAACACTTAAATCCTTATACAGTATAATATGAATGATTTTTCACAACTTAACAATTGTTCTTGTTCCATCTGTTTAACTTAAAAACATCAACTACAAATATACAGCATTTACTCTAGAACGCTAAAATGTGATTGCAACCTAAATTTTAACAGTTTTTGTAAACATGGCTTGAGTCGTACACACCAGGTCCTCTGCAGTGACGGGTCCTCCTGAGCGGCTCGTGCCCACCACCATGCGAGCCAGTCGGTTCTTCATGTCCTTCAGGCTGACTGACAGAGCCAGGATGGCCATGATCTCACTGGCCACAGCAATGTCAAAGCCAGTCTAAAGTGTGAGAAAAAGATAATAATAATAATAATGTAAAATTGCCAGCAACATGTTTACACTAATACAATAACGTTAGTTTATTGAGTAACATGAATTTTGAGACCACTACAAATTGCTCAACAGTCACCTGGTTAATGAACGTGCCCTAATTTTAGTGATAATCTAATAGGAGAAATGTAACTACGAACACATTAAGTCACTTAGATGTGACTTTTTTTATTGATTCATGTCAAACTAAGAATTTAAAAAAAACCATACCATACCACTTTATTTATAAAGCACTTAAAACAGCAACAAGGCCAACCAAAGTGCTGAACAAAACAAAACAATTTGTGTGAATGAGAGTAAATTAAATAGAGAAGCAGGGATCTGTGAGCAAAACTAAATAAATATTTTTCTCCTATTCTCACAGTGAGAGGAAAAAAAAAACTATTTAAATCATATTAGTCCACCAAGGACTTTCAAGATCTCTATTCCCGCTCCCAGTCATAACACCCAGAGGGGCTATAGGGTATCCAACATGGGAGGAGGGTGCAGGAATGAAAGTGAAACAGGCAGTAAATATAAGCATCTGCTGAGGCAGCTTAGGAGCTATTCCAGGTGAGTGTGTATGGGTAGGTGTGTGTGTGTGTGTGTGTGTGGGGGGGGGGGGGGTCATTTCCTTTTCTTATCTAAACATTTGCTTTCACTTAAAACTGCTTGCTTTCCATTGACCTGAACTGTTTACTCACTGAATTTCATTTTGCCGTCATTACTACAGATGTGTGGTTAAAATATCTCCGTGCAGGATCATGGACAGAGGAGTGTGTTCTTGTATGAACGAGAACACATTCAGTTAAATTAAACTTTACGAAACAATGTAAAAATGTTAAGAACCAACGAGTCTTTTATATTATCTTAAAGTAAAAAGGTTTTAGGCATATCAGCTTAATTAGATGCTCTAACCCAAAACTAATAAGCTTTAGTTTTGGACAAGTAGCTTTAACTTAGGATTAATTAGGACAGTTATTATAAAAATAAACAATATCAAGACAAAATGGATATAATGTGTTCTGATCATACCTCTCTGGTTTGTCCTTTTTCAGTGCTTGCCTGTCCGACTGTGATTTTTCTCAAGAAGCGATCGTTTGTGTCAACAACTGAAAAACAAAGAGACACTTTAACTTACAGCAAAAACCGTTTTAGAAATTCTAATTAGCCCGTCAGAAAATGTGGTTTGATATGTCAGCTACTTTTTTTGAACTCACCACAGGAAGCAGACTGTCAAATAATCCTTAATTTAATTTAATTTGCGTACCAACAAATAAAATCAGCATGCATTTGAAATGGGCCTGACAGACTGCAACGACTATTTCTAAGTACTTCAAGTTTCTTTACTCTGCACTCAGATAAACCTTCAGTACTGAAGCTGGAGACTGGTTCTCTGTCAGTGTTGTTACAAACAGCTGGGAACCATGTTAGTCAAAACGGTTTGCACAGGTTTGTTTTGTGTGTTGAAAGAAGCGGTGGAAAACGTTTCACGACTAACCAGACTTATCCAAATAGGTGAATCTGTTTTTAATTTAGAGGGTTTGTTTCCTAAAAATGTTCCTTGGAGCCCCAGAGGTAAATACCACATCAGTCACTGCAGAGCACGGTTTGCCTCGTTGACAGCTTTAAAGCAACACTGTCGCCACAGCAGTAGCATTTTAACATTTTCCCACAGTTATAGGCTTTATGACTGATGATGCTTAAAGCTTTCATTTATTATAAACGACTTACGTAACACGCGTTATTTAAACATTTTACGCTGCATTATTCAGGAACGGAACAAAAGGTCATCGGCTCTAAGGAGCCTCAGATGTTTGTTTAAATATCTTTTATGTTAATTTGACTTTTATATCGCCTTTGACCAGGTCTCTGGTCGAGACAGTCTCAACTCTGCTGTCTGAGACGATGAGTCATCTTTACTGTGATGGGAGCTCCAGATTCAAGCGTCTCCACTTTTCTTGTCTCTTTTTTGTCTCTTATTATGTCAAGAAAAAAGCTGTTTTTGTGGCATATAACTAATATGTCATATACATTTCAATTTGAATCATCCAAATTGTTTTTTATTCTATTTTGCGTGAGTAAGTAAGTGTATGTTTCACCATCAAAACTCCTCTGCAGCAGATAAATGTCAGTTTGGTCAGTTCACAAAAACTGGATGCCAGGGCTGTTCAAATAAATTGTTCAGGGGGCCACAGTTACTGAAGGCCAGTAGCTCAGGGGGCCAGACCAGCAATTATTGTCATTAACCAAGTTTGTTTTATGGTTTAAAATGTAGTTTTATTTAAAAATAAACCCATTGGTGGGCTGAAATTAGCTCCTCCGTGGGTCTGATTTGGCCCCCTGGCCACCAGTTGAATAGCCCTTCTGTGTGCTCTTGTTATAGCCAGTTTAGTATAACTGGACCACAAATATCCAACTGGATTGCAAATATGAAGTTAAAACAACAACAAAAAAAAAACATTAAACTTATAAATATATGGGATACCTCTCTGCCAGGTGATCTTGGAAGGATCGAGATCCAGACGTACAAAGGTGCTGACTTCTTGTGGTGTGAGATGTGCAGGATCTGATTTATTGATACCAAGGTGCTGAAATGGAAAATAAAATACAGACTGTAAGATTCTATAAAAGTATTTAGGAAAAAAAATTAAAAAGGATGATATTTCTGTGTCCACCCTTTGGTTCCTGCTGCTACAGATAATACTGAGATTTATTACATGTTCAAAGACCATTTGACTTTTAGCACATTTTATTTAACATTAAAAGGTTCAGCTGATGTAGTTATTGCTGTGTAAACACCAGCTGGAAAATATCTGCAGAGAAACATGAAATAAATCCAGAACAAATTACTACTAGATGACAATCTTACAGGTTCAAATGTTCAGGGGGAGTGTGCTGCTAAAAATGCATTTGTCTCATTCTTTCCGTAAAGAACATTATATATTTTATGCTTTTAAACATCTTATCCGTGACTTTTATAGAGCAATATAAACACTGAGCAGACTACAGCTGAACTCCTGTCCTCATAACATTTATTTTAAAATAATGCCTCTTGTTAGACGTATATCAGCTATAAGAAAACATCTGAGTATGAGATTACAGTAGAGCATTAAATCTATATTTTAAGATGGACTGAGCCCCCCTAGTGGGAAAAAATATTTTACATGAGAATTTGACCCTTCTGTGCCGATGCTTGATTTTGGCACAGCATTGTTTAGACTTACACGTAGCCTGGAGATCTGGATGGGAGAGAACTTTCTGACTCCATTCACTGTAGGAACCAGTCTACTGAACAAGGCCTTGACAGAATAAGAGAAAAGGTAGGTTCAGAAATAAATCTCAGACACAAATCATCACACTAATGCATGCATGTCCAAACAGCCTTTTTTTTTTTTTTTTTACACTGAATGGTCAGAATGAGTTGTTTTTGTGAAACTCTACAGCCACCTTGTCTGACTGTGTAGCCTCATGAAGCATCCTGGCATCGATGGCTGCTGCCACCAAGTTATTGGCTGCTGTGATGGCATGAATGTCACCAGTCAGATGCAGATTGAACTATGGGCAAGACAGATTAAAAAAGAGGACACACAGAACAGAAATGTAAAATATTACACAACAGATACATATAATACTATAGCAGAATATAATACTTATAAAAAAAATGCTGCATTAAAAATGTTTGGTCATCGGTAACACAAAAGTAATTTGAAACAATGTTCCAACAGGTTGCAGAAAAATGATGGACACGAGTTATTTAAAAGTAAATAAGTTGTGCCAGTGTGGTAAAAGGATAAGGCTGCAGGGAGAGGATGAGAACTTCATGTCTGTATCTTTGTAACTCCCTCCCTTTTCTTTATGTTTAGTGTCTGGAGTCGTAGCTTTAGGAAATGGGAACGTGTTTTTTGCGTGCGTGTCTTAGGTCTTTGAAATCTGCCCAAGTTCAACTAGGGAACTCTGTGAAGCTGTCTGCATGTCCTACCTCCTCCATGGGTATGACCTGGGCATAGCCCCCTCCCGCAGCTCCCCCTGGGCATAAAGGAGAGGTAAAACAGTCAGAGGAAGACAACAGGACAACGTCTTTCAAAGGAGCAGTGCTGTGTGTTGGACTCTCATCGAACTACTCCACCCAGGAGAAACATTTATAAAAGTATGGAACGTTAGCTTCACGCGGAGAAAGAAAGTTTTTTACATTGTTACTTTGAACATTCCTAACTTGATTATTAGGCGCCACTGTCTCGGCCCGCCATGTTGTAAAACAGATCAGCTAATGATATGAAAGGCAACATTCAAAAAAATTCCTTACAAAACCGTATTTCAAACATTGTTTTTAGAAAAGCAGAGACTTGGAACGGCCATCTTGGCAAACAAAGTGTAACAAAAGGCAGGGAGATAAAGACATTTCAGAGATAGTACAATGCTAGACAACTAGAAGACTTGTGTATTCACTGCTGACCTTTAACCCCAAAGGTGGGTCCCTGTGAAGGCTGTCTCAGACAAGCAAAGGAGTTGAGCTTAAGGTGGGCAGACATGGCCTGGACTAGACCGATGGTCACCGTGCTCTTGCCCTCACCCAGCGGAGTTGGAGTTATACTAGAAACACAAACAAGGAGATATGACAGCATGGTGCTTGACATATAATAGTCTGTAAAAAAAAACAAAAAAAAACATGATTTATTGCTGTCTATCATGGTGCACTAAGATTCATAACTGGCTGTGATTATCGTACCCACCACTGCACCCTGTATTCACTGGTTAACTGGACATCATTAACTTCACGCAGACTCTCTCACTGGTACATTTTCATCTTTAAATCACTTCTTGGTCTGTTGCCTTCATACATCTCCTCCTACAGGTCTCTGCGTGAGTGCAGCTACGGAGTGCGCTCTCAGGACATTATTACCTGCAGTGTTCCCTCAATGAGGACTGAACTAGGCAAAAGGGCCTTCTCCTATTCCGCTCCTGTTTCCTGGAATATCTTACAAAAAGATTTGAAGCTCTCGACCTTGACCTCTCTAAGTGTCTTTAAGAATCTGTTGGACACCTGCCAGGGACCAATGCAGACATGTTCCTGTTGTTAGTTTTCTACATTTGTCTTGGAATCTAGCTGTTTTTTGTTTTGTTACCTTTTCCTTTTAGCCATCCTATTTGTTAAAAAAAAAAAAAAAAACTGTAGTATGCTTTTTTTATAACTGTTTATTGTTGTTGCTGTTGTCCATTGTTGTCATCTTTCTTTGTTGAAATCAGGTCTCTCTTGTAAATGAGTCCTCAAGGCTCAATGGGATTTACCTGTATAAATAAAGGTTGATTGATTGATTGATTGCAGTCTATCAAACCAGTGGAATCTCAGTGCACTCACTGAGATAGCAATGATAATACATTTGCAGACCTAATTGGATGTAATTCAAAAAAGTTGTTGCTCATGTGACAAGCTGACGGGTGTCGCACTCACCCGGCAACCAGGACATATTTGCCATCAGGCTGCGAGCGGAGGCGATCTAACAAGGACAGGTGGACTTTAGCTTTGTTCCTGCCATAAGCTTCAAGCTCCTCCGGCAGCAAACCAATTTCCTCAGCAAGCTGATCCACAGGTTTAGGAGTCTGAGCTCTGGATATCTGTATGTCACTGACACAGCAGACAAAAACACATCAAATGATTTAACTAGACAACAACCAGATTTATTTTACAGCACTCATTGTATTTAACCTAATCACAAACTGCATTTAACAGTAATCGTGAAAATCAATTAAGCTCATCAAAGTAAATGTAGTTGGATGTGTAAATCTTTGCCTTGGCACAGGGGTCAGTGGCTGCAGTTGAAGGTTATAGAGATGCCAGGGTCTGTACTGCTGCTTCTGAAGCCATCGACTGCAGCTATGAATCACATTCTAATAGATAAAAAAAGGAATAAGATCATTGACCATCAAGGAATAGGACAGAAAGGAGGTTTAAGGATACTGGAAGAAAGAGACTTACCTGGGATCTGTAAGCAGCTGTGAGGAATCCTAACCCAGATCTTGAGGACAAACATAAAGCATCATCTAAAGAGGAAAATACAAGGCATGTAAGAAACTGTTTGTACAAATATACAAACATAGTAAAACCTCCACAGAAAATGAGCATATAAGAGGATGCACATCGTTGTCTAATTTATCTCATTTAATGTTTCCTGAAAGGCGAGCAGCAAGCAGCAGTTTAGATGCAATGACAAGATTTGAAACTCACTAATGGGTGACCAAAGTTAATTTGAAAAATGTTGTCTTCTTTTTAACTCAGTTCTTATTAAATGCAACATATTCAGCTGTACCTGGTTCCAGGGTCGACTCACACCGAATGATAACGGCTTCTGGTCGAGTCCAGGTGGGAGGAACTTCCACGTTTCCTGCACTTAATAGAACCAACACATCAGCCTGCATCACCTGATTAAAAAAAAAGGAAATAACAAAATATATTAATATAAAACATATGTGGAAAACATAAACAAAGACAAGTCAATGTAACCTAAAAAGCCTACATAAAGAATAACAATCACTAAAACTATTTGCTGCAGCTTTATTACAAGTAAATATTTTACAAAGCTGCACTTTAAAAAGCACACACTGACTCCTTGTGGTCACTCACTCACACTGCAACAAGGGACAAATTCATTCAGCACATAAAGATGAAAATGTATCATAAACTCATTTTATGCTAGGAAAGAAGATGTAAGACACTGAAACCTGCTTCTGCAGATTCTTGGAGTTCCAATGACTTGTATCTACTGCCATGCCACCTCTTTCAATCAGGCATTGTAGGGTCAACCTGAGGGGTCCTTCTCCAACTAGCAACACAGATTTGTCTTTCAAAGGCACATCTGTAAAAAGGTTTAAGATGTGTTCAACAACTGGCAAACCAGACATTAATTATCAGCATTTTTTTACATTTATTCACCTAAACTAGGGGTCTGCGACCTTTACAATTAATGAGCCATTTCTGCTCCTTCGTTCACTAAAGTAAACGTGTCCAGATCCGCAAACAGGTCTCTCTTGTAAATGAGTCCCCGTGACTCAATGAGACTAACCTGTCTAAATAAAGGTTGAATGGAAACCCCCCTGCTACAATTGTCATTATCAACTGGTGGCTCATGGGCCAATTCAAGTTTGTTAAGAGGGGGCTTTTCTGGCCAGGTGTGAAATTATAAAACTAAAAACATCCATTGACTGAGACAAAAGAAAAGACTGGATTGCATCCATCCATTCATCAATCCATCCATCTCAGTGTTTCCCCTAGTTAACTTGCCATGGCGGGGTGCTCATCTCATCCATGATTTTTGTTGATGGGGGTATGGAGACATGTCTGAGTGCAGCTTGTACCAACAGTTTTTGAGTGTGTGTGTGTGTGTGTGGGGGGGGGGGGTTTCAGAATGAGGGAAGAGGCGCCTTTAGCCTTTTACCTAGAGCGCCTGTATTGCGCGCTGCTAGCTTAGCACGACACGTTTGAGTTGTGCGCTGTTTATACAGACAGTTTTTGAGTGTGTGTGTGTCTGTGTGTGGTGTTCAGCTTGAGAGAAGAGGCAGCGTCAGTGCTGCCTTTAGCTTTTTAGCTTGAGAGCCTTATTTATCGCGGCTAGCTTAGTGCTATGTCAGTGACCGGGTGGGGGGTGGGGGTGGGGGGTTGGTTTGGTAGGTGTGGTGCTCAGTTATGTTGACAGGGTGGGGCACCCCGCTTGTATAATGGTAGGGGAAACACTGCATTATCTTTACTCGCTACTTCCTTTTCAGGTTGCAGGGGGTCACTGGTGCCCATTTCCAGGTCGTAAGTCTATCACAGAAGACTGGATTCTAGTAAAGAAAAATATATATATATATATTATTTTGCCTTTTTTTTGTTTAAACTAAAACATTGAACTGTGCAGACTTATGTGTTTTATTTTTTTAATTGTGGAGATATTAAGTATCCTACTTTCAATAAATAAAGCATAAAGTTAGAATATAATTTACTTTCTGTATTAGTACTAGTATCCACATATTAGCAAAGGAAATTACAGGCAAACTGCTAAAACTAGTCATTTTTTGTTGTGGATATAACCTCCAATTAAATTCAGTTTTATGTAAGTTTTGGTCAAAGCTAGAAAGAGTCACTGTGGAGGGACCAAAGAGCTGCATGTGGCTCCAGAGCCACAGGTTGCAGACCCCGACCTACAGCTATAAAAGAGTAAGAATAAATACATACTTGTATAACATTCTTCATTAAGTGGCTTGTGTAAAAGTAAACCTTAGTTTGTATTTTTAGTTTAATTTAGCTTCACATTGTCAAACTATTGAAACTCTTGAACTTCTGTTATTTGAATAGAGACACGAAGAGCAACTGTAACTCTATATTGAGCAATGCAGTTTTTTTTCCCTAAATAAACAAACCTCAAGTATCATAGCTAAGTAATGCAAACAATATTAATTTAAAAGTTCAATCTTGGCAATCAATTCTTCACTACATGCTTCCGTTAGATAACGTGTTTACACCAAAAAAAAAAAAAAAAAAAAGGAAATATACATTCTTCAGAAAAATCATTTGTAATTAAGACAAAAATTGAAATGATTCACATAGCTTCTGATTAAAAAACAGGTCTTAGCATGCCACAGTACTAATGATGTCAGAACTTCAGTCAGTACAACACACCCAGTTTTATGGATTACAAATATGTGGACATCAGGAGAATAGCTTTAAAAACATCCGGATGCAAATGTTTGCTTGATACTGTTCATTTTGTTTTTCATAGTTCAGCCTCATTATCAGTTTTCAGTAGCAGAGGAGGTAAGTGCTGATGTCTTGGTTTGTATCTGAAGTCCTTATCACTGCATCCTCTCATATTTAACTGACCTCACCGCTGTTTTGATCGAGTGCGTTAGTTCACGAGGGGTTGAAGGTTTACATCAGTACAAATCGCTGTGCTTACTGCTTGAAAACGGCAAGAAAAAAGAAATAAAGATGGCTGCTGTAAAGCATTGTGGTGTATGAAAACATTGTAGGATTTTGGACAAATTAATAAAAGCATAACATTGTTAAACCAACTCAAATTTTTTACATTTGAAGCTCCTTCAAGCACGTCACAGAAAATGTTACAAATTCAAGAAATTGGTTGAATATAAATGTTTTTATGGCAGAAACTTACCACGTTTCCCCAGAAGATCTAAAATAGCACTGGCTATTGGAGGCACAAAACTTTTACTCAGGTCCCCTCGCAGCAAACGGCCCATATTCAAATCTGTCAGGCTATAATAAGACAGAAAAAAATAAAAAATGTTTAGAATTACTTGGACATAAAAAAAATGTACATGCCAAGACGTTTTGACATGCTTTTTTTTTTTTTGCCATATAGCATGATTTCATCTAGAATAAAAGCATCTTCGTAATGCAAGGGTTTTACCCTTCAACGTCCTTCTCTGGACTGAGCATGTTGAGCACTCGACTGGTGAGAAAAGCTGGAGGGAGGTGGAGGTAGATCCCGTGCACCTTAGGGTCACTGTTGAGCTTTAGCAACTCTGCTACAATCTACAATCATAAACAAGGAGAGGAAAAAGAGCAAAAATATGTGAAAGTAGAGCAACACATCTCCTTTAAGGCCAGGAATAAAAATCATCCACTGTCAACTGAACTCATCCCACAGATACCTTCTACTAAAAGGGTCAAAAAGAAGGCCCCAGCTGACCTAACCTGGTTCTTCCAAGTTTATCTACACAGCAATGAGTAATATAAGGAGTTATTAAATTAATCATTATATTGTGGCTAAACAGCAACAAAAGCTGTTGTACAATCACTTCAAATGTATATAAGGCACTGAAAATAACAACCACTGTGAACACACGCTGCACAGAGAAACAAATACAAGGTCAATTGTGTGAGAACTTACAAAAAAAATGATATTGAGCAAATACTTCAGCCAGTTTCACTTACATCATCTTCACTGCACTCATTTGTCAAACACATCTGAGTGACCGTCAGGCCAATCTGCGGACAAAAAGATATTTACTGGAAACAGCTCTGATGATTTACCGGTAGTTAAATTAGTAAAAAAAATTAAAATCCCATAGTCGAAGTGTCAAAAAGACCATTACCTTGCTTGCAATTTTCTTATTGACCTCCAAAATGTTATCATCGTCACCTGACTGAGATAAAGCAAAAAAGGTTGAGCAAAGCGAACATAGAACGGATATGCAGCGATATCCGTAAAATAAGATACTACAAACATCTAACAAGATAAATAAGGTCAAGTTCATTCAGTCAAGCAAAGTAAACGGACTTTGATTTTTGAGGGGGAGGGGGGAATTTTTGTTCTAGAGCTTTAAAATACTTATTTTGTGCTTTATTTAAGAGAATAAATCCTTCAGTACTTCTGTCTATCCTTAGATTACCTGGAGAATGGCTAACAAAGGCTGGACTTCTGGATTTCTTCCTAGTAGAGTCACCTTTGCTTCCTTAATACTCTGAACCACCTCCCTGAGAAAATTAAAAATATGGTAGTTAGCTCCGTCCACTTACCAACAAAAGTTACACATAGAAACACTGAGCACAAATTTCATGGAAAGGGAAGGGAACAAACAATTTTAGGTTGGCTCTAAAACCAAAGCAGACCAGGATAAACTTGTTTGAAGATAAACCATTAGTTTATAGAGAAAACAATTCCCAATCAAAAGATTAAAGCTAAATATAGACGTTAGCTGTAAGTTCTTGAGCTAATCAGCAGAAACAGTTCATTCAACCTTTATTTAGACAGGTTAATCCCACTGAGCCTCGGGGACTCATTTACAAGAGAGACCTGGTTTCTTAACAAAGAGTGATGACAACAGTAACAACGACAACAACAGACAGTCAAAAAAGAGGCACACAAAATTTTAATGCATTTATTTTGAAAATTCAACAATGAAACAGTTACTTCCAATTCCAAAAAAGTTCAATCTGGTCCTCTGGACATTCAAAAAAACAAAAGCAAAACAAAGCAAAAAAAATCTAGAATTGATGCATTTTTTTGTCCTGTTTTAATAAAATATTTACAAAATGAGGTTTATCCTGCTGCAACTTCTTCTATTGTTTTAATGAAACTTAAAAAAGGGGAAAAGAAAAATGCACGCAAACTAAAGGGCCCTGTATAATCCATCCGAAGCGGCAAAATTAACTCACGTTGACGTAGTCGCGTGTCGAAAATCGTGTCGTTTGTTTGCCTCAGAGCAGCTTCGCCTGCCCCTTCTCGACACAAGGCCGGGGCCGAACTTTTTCTCACAGGTGCATGAACAAAGTATTGCGTGATTGGTTAAAAGTTTGTGGGTCGACAGTCAACTGTTCGGCTTCGTATGGAGTATGCTGGGCCCGTAAGGCCAACTAGGAAGACATTTAATGTTTAGAAATAATAAAGAATAATTAAAAACTGCAGCATGGTGAAAAAAATGTATCAAATCAAGAGCAGATTAGACTCATCTCCACTGACATGTATGACTAGAAATATGCAGAATAACTGAGGGGCAAAGTAGCTTTTTGCTTTCTGACCCTATAGACAAATGTTCGGCTTTGAGCAGGTTTTCATTGCTTTAATTATTTTAAGTTTAGATTGACATGAGAAGGACAAGAAGTAATAAAATGATAAAAACTTAATATAATGAATGATAATGTCACAGACATTTACACCTCTAGATGCAGGAAGAGGGCCAATTGCATCAAGAAAGACCCCACTCACACAGCACACACACTTTTTGCCCCGTTCCCCTCAGGAAGGAGGTTAAGGAGCATTAAGTGCAGAACCACTAGACTGAGGAACAGCTTCTACCCTGAGGCTGTTAGACTCATGAATCTCTAATCAGGATAATCACTGTGAAAAATCACATCATGTTGCTGTGTTCATGCGTGCTCATCTGCTCACACAGACTCAAGTTCGTGCTGCTGTTTGACATACTGTTGCCTTCTGTTGCCTTCATACATCTCCTCCTACATGTCTCTGCGTGAGTGCAGCTACGGAGTGCGCTCTCAGGACATTATTACCTGCAGTGTTCCCTCAATGAGGACTGAACTAGGCAAAAGGGCCTTCTCCTATTCCGCTCCTGTTTCCTGGAATATCTTACAAAAAGATTTGAAGCTCTCGACCTTGACCTCTCTAAGTGTCTTTAAGAATCTGTTGGACACCTGCCAGGGTCCAATGCTGACATGTTCCTGTTTTTAGTTTTCTACATTTGTCTTGGAATCTAGCTGTTTTTTGTTTTGTTACCTTTTCCTTTTAACCATCTTATTTGTTAAAAAACAAACAAACAAACAAAAAAACTGTAGTATGCTTTCTTATAACTGTTTATTGTTGTTGCTGTTGTCCATTGTTGTCATCTTTCTTTGTTGAAATCAGGTCTCTCTTGTAAATGAGTCCTCGAGGCTCAATGGGATTTACCTGTATAAATAAAGGTTGATTGATAATGTTTTTATGCTACTAGTGCTTAGTGTATATTTAGTTGGTTTGTTTAGTTCATATCTTAGATCTTATTGCCGTTTTTCTTTTAGATTTTATTGTTGGATGTAACTGGGACCCTGTGTACATAATTTCATTCCACCACATGTACCACATGTGGTGCGAATGACAAATAAAGAACCTTGAATCCTTGAATAATAATGAAAGGATGAGATGGTTCTTTCTTCTTTTGTTTCCTCACAATTTTAACCCTGTCCACATAGACATTTTGAAATTGCATAATTCTAAGTGACAAGGTTGCTGGATCGGATCCTGGTCGGGGTCTTTCTGTGTGGAGTTTGCATGTTTTCAACATGCATGTGTGTGTTTTCTCCAGGTACTCCAGTTTCCTCCCACAGACCAAAAACATGCATGTTTGGCAACTCTAAATTGCCAGTGAGAGAGTGAATGGTTTGGGGTTGTGGTTAAAATATTTGTCTCATTTGCCTCTATGTGTCCCTGTGATGGACTGGAGACCTGTCCAGGGTGTCCCCCGTCTCTTGCACAGTGACTATATGGGCACCAGTGACCCCTGTGACCCAGAAACGAAGAAGCAGGTAAAGATAATGGATGGATGTATTTTATTTATAATTCTGTTTATACTTTGTCTTATAGCCCTGTAGCAAGTGTGTCTCCAGAGGTATTTACCAATCCCACAATGTAGAGCAAGACAAATATTGTCAATTTAAAATCTAGTTTTATTTTAAATTAATTTAATGGCAGGTGTACAAAGTTGTATATTCTCCCCCTCCCCGCTTTAAAATTTAGGTTTATTTCAAATGACCTGGGCCTGATTATGCTCAACCGCGGCCCGGATGTGGCCCCCGGGCCGCCAATTATCCATGATGTAGTACACATATGTCAAACTCGAGGCCCGGGGGCCAAATGTGGCCCTTGTTGACATCTTATCTGGCCCCCCAAGATGATATTTTAAACAAAAAATACTTTTATCACTTTAATTTTTTTCAGTAATCTTTGATTATGATTTCAAAAGTGCAATAGAGAGCATCAAATGAGACCAATCAAACTATTTTTGAGGAACCTGCAAACAAGAAAACATGTTGGGTATCTAACTTGAGTTAATGCAGATTCTGAAACTGGCCCTTAGTTTGAAAAAGGTTTTAATGTTGGCCCCCTTTTGTAAGTGAGTTTGACATCCCTGATGTAGTATTTCTCTTCAGCAGCAGACACAATACTACAACAGACTGGGAAGAGCAGAAATACTGACTCAAGACACTGACTAAGAAATGTAAACATGGGCTTCATCAAGTCTATCTTTAGAAAACTTCACGCATGATCCATTGTTTTTTTTTTTTTGTCATTATCATCTAAAATGTCCTATTTTAAAGCCTTAAGTCACGCTATTTTACCATATAAATAAACGCTCATAAGAGTCGAGCTGTCCTGCATCAGGCAGCATTTTCTCTGTTTCCTGTTAAATCACCGCGTGCTCGGTAACAACAGAGGGAGGTTACGTCAGCTGGCTCCAGCCCGATCACACAGGGCACGTGCAGAGCTGGCTGTTAGCCAAAAGGAGACGAAAAGCGGCGGGTGACATTAATCATGCGCTGGTAATCATTCGGCAAAAATTATATGCCCCCTACCACCACCACCACCACCACCAAAAAAAAAAAAAAAAAAGTAACAAAATAAATAAACTCATTCATGCGCTTCATTCCACATACACTTCTATGTCTTACTTGTTGAATTCAGACCAGGTTTTGTCTTGTTTCTTGAAGTTACCCGTTCGGCTCGTGCCGCTGCTAACCGTCCGAAGGGCTACACGGTGGTCGGTCACAGCAACCGGCAAGCATCTCCGCGACAGACCGCTAAATCTGCTTCCTGGACGGGATGTGTACGGTCGAAGACTGCCACAAGCGCTGCGGATTGAAGCCAACTTCATGGTCACTTTTTTTGTTCGTTTGTTTATAGTTCCTGTATTTGCTGCTCAACCGGCAGTTGGTAAAGTTCCTCCAGGAGAAAGAGACAAAAGTTGTGGTGTTTGCACATCAATGGATGTCCGTCTGCTTCAGGAACAGTCGGAAAATTAATGAATAACATGAACTATCAGATGCGGTTTCAAAGGAATGCATGGATGTCAAGTAGTCAGCCTACTACGATACTTTAAAAATATTAGTTTGAGCATTACTGTTAGGTCACTTATTATTTACGAGCTGAGTCTATTTATCAAAAGCACACACAACACAATCAACATGCGATGCCACGGTCATCGGGAGCTGCTCATTGAAAATCCGAGGGGTCCTTGAAGGCATCAGTTCCGCTTTCTCTATTAGCTTGAACTGTTTTGATTAACAAGTCTATCTGATAATTTAAACAAAAATATGTAATAGTTCTGTTTTTTACACAAGACTATGACATTCAGAAATTAAAACAGTGTTATATAAAAAAAACATCAAGGTGCCTAAGAAAATAGGGCAAAATACTACAAACAAGAACAAATTCAGATTTTTGAAGTGACCTTTCACAGCATTTGAAATTTCTCCAATGAAATTCAAGTGGTCAACTTCAAATCCTGTTGCAAGGTGTTTAAGGCAACAGCAGCAAAGTAAGAGAGTCCTTTACACCAAGGTCAGTATGCACTAAGGAGATGCTACAGGTAATGAGGGCCTGGGAGCACAAGCTGTAACTGGAATAATGATGTGGCATGTGAGGAGATATAAATATAGCAGACATAAATATATTTACAGGTTCACTTAAAGTTTAAATCATTTAATAACTCAAGCCAAGTCATGTTTAAAATCGGTCTTTTTTATGACAAATAATAAAAAGTCACTCCCAAACATAGAAAAAAAAGCTTTCTGGAGGCCTGCGATGCCCTTTCTAGTTGAGCCATATGAGAATAAACTTATTTTATCACTACTTTGATCAAACAAAAGTCCAGCATATTTTTTTATTTTACAAATTAAACTCTGCAAGAGTTCTTTTGCACTACTGTTTACATTCACACTGCTGCTTATATTACACTACAGTTGATATATATATATATATATATATATATATATATATATATATATATATAATTTTTTTATTTTTTTTTATTTTTTTATTTTTTTTTACTAGCCTTATTGCATATGTCACTTTACCTACACCAATATCAAGGACTTCATACATATACTGTGTACATTCACTTCATATGCTGCTTTGCCACTTACTACAAATATCAATGTCAGGTCTTCATTTAATTTTATTTCATAGATATACTTTTAAAAATATTTTTTTATTACGCTATAGTACAATTTAAGACAGTATCATACGTTTATTATTGCATTTTATGCTTATGTTTATTAAATGTTTTAATGTTAAATGGTAATTGTTGCACCCGGGTCTGAATTCAATTCAATTCAATTCAGTTTATTTATATAGCACCAAATCACAACAAAGTTGTCTCAGGGCACTTTACAGACACATTCACATACATAAAAGCCAATTAGTAAAGTTATCTATCTAAGGAATCCAGCAGACAAGTTGAATCTTGGCTTCGTTGCAGTCTCCCATCCTGAGCAAGCACAGTGGCAACAGTGGAAAGGAAAAACTCCCTTTTAAAAGGAAGAAACCTCCAGCAGAACCAGGCTCAGGACAAGCGGCCATCCGCTTTGACCGGCTGGTTTGAGAGGACAGGAAGGAGAGACAGACAAACATAGAATGGTAGGTCCAGGTCTATCTGAAAGACAAAAAAAAACCCCACATGTTCAGGATAGAAAAAAATAATTACAAATACAAAACAGGTTGAGCAGAGTAAGTAAAGACAGTAGCAGAGTGAAAATTGTGGTCAGTTTGTCCTCCAGCAGTCTAAGCCTATAGCAGCATAACTAAGGGACAGCTCAGGAAACCCAAGCCGACCCTAACTATAGGATTTAGCAAAAAGAAGCCCAGTCTTAAAACTGGATAATGTGTCAGCCTCATGGACAGAGATTGGAAGTTAGTTCCACAAAAGAGGAGCCTGATAACTGAAAGATCTGCCTCCCATTCTGTTTTTGTAAATTCTAGGAACCACAAGTAAACCTGCAGTCTGAGAGCGAAGCGCTCTGTTAGGAAAATATGGAACAATACGATCTGTAATATAAGATGGAGCTAGGTTGTTGAGAGCTTTGTAGGTTAGAAGTAAGATTTTGAATTCAATTCTGGATTTGACAGGGAGCCAATGGAGAGAAGCTAAAACTGGAGAAATATGATCTCTCCTACTAACGCCAGTTAAGACTCTGGCAGCAGCATTTTGGATCAACTGAAGACGTTTTAAAGACGTATTTGGACACCCAGATAACAAACCATTGCAATAGTCTAGTCTAGACTTGACAAATGCATGGACCAGTTTTTCTGCATCATTTTTAGATAAGATGTTTCTAATTTTAGTGATATTACGCAGATGCAAGAAGGCAGTTCTAGTAACGTTTTTAATGTGGGGGATAAAAGACATGTCCTGATCAAAAATAACACCAAGATTTTTAACATTAGAACTGGAGGACAGATTAATGCCATCTAAGGAGGGAGAAAGACTGAAAAATTCATTCTTAAGGTGCTCAGGTCCCAAAACCAAAACCTCAGTTTTGTCTGTGTTCAACAGGAGAAAATTAAGGGTCATTCAGGTTTTTATGTCTTTAAGACATGCTTGTAGTCTAAGTAGCTGATTGGATTCATTGGGTTTAATGGACAAATATAATTGTGTGTCATCAGCATAACAATGAATATTTATCCCATGCTGTTTAATAACATTACCTAATGGAAGCATATATAAAGTAAAGAGTATTGGCCCAAGCACTGAGCCCTGAGGAACTCCATGACTAACTTTGGTGTATGAAGAAGATTTATTATTTACATTTACAAACTGGAATCTATCAGATAGACATGATTTCAACCATTTTAGAGCCGTTCCTGTAATCCCAACATCATATTCAAGCCTCTGTAGTAAAATATTGTGATCAACTGTATCAAATGCAGCACTGAGGTCTAACAGGACCAGTATAGACACAAGTCCATTGTCTGAGGCCATGAGAATATCATTAGTGACTTTTACTAGTGCTGTTTCTGTGCTATGATGAGCTCTAAACCCTGACTGAAACTCTTCAAACAGATTATTTCTTTGTAGATGTTCACGCAACTGACCTGCAACTATTTTCTCTAGAATTTTTGAGATGAAAGTTAGATTATATATAGGTCTATAGTTGGCCAGAATTTCTGAATCAAGATCAAACTTCTTTAGTAAAGGTTTAATTACAGCAACCTTAAAGCGCTGTGGGGAAAAAAAAAAAAAAAAAGCTTATGTTTCTGACCAGTTAGATGAGAAATAATTAATTAAAATAAATACATTAAAACATTGTGTCTGTCATTTTTAAATGCCTACTAAAATGTCAGGCAGCTTGACAAAATTATGAATTATGAAGCAGAGTAAACAGGTCTAAACTATACCCTACGGATACAGACGAGACAAAAATGCACCTTATTTAATGAGCAAAAAGTGGAAAATAGAAATTCATTGTTTAAAAAGTTTAAATCAGGTCCTCTGGATGAATTCTTCTTTTTTTAAACATTTTGTCTTTTGGATAAGGCGAAATGTTGTTACATTGTTACCGGGATTGTTGAGCATGCATTATGAGCAATTCATTGTATGTGCAAGAAGCTGGTTAAACCACATTGGTCTGTTCTCTTCCTCTATACCTTGCAAGATAAAGTGACGAGTGTGTCTGGGAACTCTTTAGTCACCTGTTAGTTTCAGCACAGTCTTGGCTCTTTTACTTTAAAGCTGACAAGCATCACAATCATTAACCTCCCATCCAAAATGGATAAATCCCCCCAAACAACAGCAGCTCCAGAGTCAAATGACCGGAGACCTGCTCAGCTTCTGTCACTGCACACACCTAGTTTACTGCTGCCGAAGCTACAGGCGTCACCAAGACCAAACCAACCGGACTTCATTCCCCAAATCAAGTCTTTATTGTCATTCGTGGCGTGGCACCGTCATCTGCTCTTACGAAACCCCAGAACAATTCCTTGTTTTTTTTATAGCTCCAACGACAGGAGCTGTACGCATGAGGTGAGCTTTGTTTTTCTGCTCGCAGTCTGGAGACGACAGCCTCGGAGTCGGAAGATGCTGCTGAGGCACTGCAGTCAGCTGACAACAAGGGACAACGTTTAATATCTACAGATAAAACAGGTAATAAGCGTTAACTTTCATCAGGAAATCCAGAGTAGGACTAATGAATCATTAATGCAGTTTGTTCCTGAGAAAATAAAATACGAAATGCCGAATGAAGGATGAAGTTCATCATGAGACAGTCAACCTAAGCCACTCAGGAGACTCACTTAAGTATGGAAACGAGCTCTTTTTGAAAACATTTCTACAATGTAGCTTGTTTCTATACTTAGGCTACAATTTAAAAGCGTTTCTAATTAATTTGATTCTTCTTTACGGTAACAGATTGTGTTTTTTTGCACTGATTTACCTTGAAAGTAATGCCTGATGTAACTTGTAAACACTGAGACTAAAGATGATTCAAGTCCTCTGGACAAATTCTTTTTATTTTTTATTTTAAACGTTTCGTCTTTTATCCAAAAGACTTCTTCAGTCTGAGGAGCTGCAGCTTGTGGTATGGACATTAAACAAAAAAAAAAACACAAGAAAGCACCTTGTTCTCTAAGCTGCAGCTCCTCAGACTGAAGAAGTCTTTTGGATAAAAGATGAAACGTTTCAATAAAATAAGAATCCGTCAGCTTGTTAGATTATTGAGCATGCATCAGCACATTAATCACGAGAGATCCTAAACTTAGTGTCGATCAGTTGAACAAATTATCTGAAAACTAACAGAGCCAAGCACAGCATGTCTCTCAAATTGTTTATAACTTAATAATGTGAGCCTCTTCAATCTATTTTTAAGACAAAACACTTTAAAATGGTGCATCTACTTGTTTTTAGCTTTGACAAAAACTGTGCTGAACACAGAAATGTGATGGCTCTCAGGACCTGAGATCCATCACATTTCTGTGACACAGCTGGCAGTATATTTAAATCTTAGCTGAAAGCAGGGACAACAATCTTAGGTATGTTGGAAGAGATTGAACTATTAGATTTTTTTTTCTTTCATCTGATGACCCACTTATGTTAAAAGTTAAACTGAATGCCTGAAGAAAGACGTCAGTCTCATCACAAGCTTTAGGAACTAGTTTGGTGAGAACTACCACTTTGGACTAGTCTCTGGAAAACCTGTTGGGCAGGTGATAGGTAGGTGGGTTAAACCAGAAGAAGAAGAAGAAGAAGAAGGAAATTACATTTAAACTCTTTTTCCTTGTTTTGTTTGAATAACAAATATTTTTTCTCTATCTGTTTTTGTTCCTCTAGTACTCGTCTACTTTTTATATATATATAAAAAAAAGTTTTAGCATGAGCGATGAAAGTAAAATCACGGTGTCTTTCTCTTGACAGGCTGACTCATTTGAGTGTTTCTTCTCTCATCAATGTGCTTTGAAGGAACAAAAACCAGAGAAAGAAATCTATCTTGACGTCTGCGGTCTTCACTTCTCCGGTTCAAACATGAGGGACAGACTGAGTCACCTGCAGGAGTTGCACAGCGACGAACCCGAGTCACTGGAGTACGCCGAGTCCACCTTCTCCGACTCCTTCAGTAACGTTGACCTGGAAGAAGAGCTGCCCCATGAGGCCGTCATCTTTGACAACAGCCCCGCTCTCGCTGAGGTCTTTTCCCAATCTCAAGACATCCAGCGAGAGGTCCAGCTCATCCGCGTTGAGGTCAAGAGGCTTCGGGAGCAGAATGCCCGAATGCTCCAAGGTACGTCCAACATGAGCACCATCAAACAGGACTCTAACGTCATCGGTGCCGACATAAAGAAGAGGGCCGAGGGAGTCCTACAACGTCTGCACACCATGGATGGAACGACCCACAAGCTAGAAGAAACGTACGGCCCAAACTCTGCCACCACGCGCATTGCCCGAACCCAGTACGCTTGCCTCAGCAACGGCTTTCGAGACGCCATGTTTGACTATAACGAGGCTGAGATGAGCCATCGTGAAAACTGCAAAGCCCAGATCATGAGGCACATGGAGATAGTGGGGCGTGACGTGACGGATGAAGACCTGGAGAACATGATTGAGAAAGGCCAGCTGAGCGTCTTCACGGACAACGTCGTGAGCGAAGGTAAAACGGCTAAATCGGCTCTGTTCCAGATAGAGAAGCGACACCAGGAGCTGATGGATCTGGAGAACCGTATCAATGGCATCCACGAGATTTTCCTGGACATTGCGCTGCTGGTGGAGGAGCAGGGCCCCATGCTGAACGACATCCAAACCAACGTTCAAAAAACGGACGCCAACTTACAAGACGCCCTGGTCAAACTCCGCACGGCTAAGCGTCACGACAGCAACAACCCGTTTAAAAAGATGTTCTGCAGCTGCTTTCCGTGTTATAACTGAGGACTGGAGAAACAAAGGGGTCGAGGGACGCCGCCATATTAAACGTCACGACTAAATTTCCTTTCTTTTGTTTTGGTCACAAAATATTTACGTGGCTAACAGAGAATAAATCGTTTCTCAAGAAATAAAATGAAGGTTTTAAAGGTGAAGCGTGGAGAACAATCGTGTCTAGATTAAAGAACAAAGCTGTGGATAATGTGTCACATTACTGAGGTGCGACGTAGACCATGTTAAGTTAATTTTATTTGGTTTAGCTTTTAGGATTTTAGATGATATAAACGTGTTAACGCTGGGAATGCTGATCCTGAACAATATTTTCTGATGCGATACGAGGTAATTGCAATGATCCCTGTGTTACTGCCCTGATAAATATGATGTTATGGTTTATTCTAAATGTTTTATCCATTATACTGTTATCCATAAATTATGATTTGTTATAAGTAGCAAACAATATTTCTTTGTACCATCCTTAGATTTGTTTTGAGGATGCAATGAAAAAAAACATTCTAAACTAAATAAAGGTTTGCTGCAGAGAATAAACTGACACCCACCACGCTGTTTTTGTTGTCAAGGTCAAGGTCAAGGTTTCTTTATTGTCATTCGCCCCTCATGTGGTGGAACAAAATTGTGTATACAGAGTCCCAGTTACATACAACAAACCATAAAATGTAAAGAAAAACAGTAATAATATCTAAGATATGAACTAAGAAATAGCTAATCTAAGAATACACTAAGCACTAGTAGTACAAAAACAATACGCCGAACAACAGCAGCACGAACATGAGTCTGTGTGAGCAGATGAGTACGAATGAACACAGCAGCATGAAACAAATCAGCAGCACGAGATCAGCAGCATGGATAGTCAGCAGCACATATAAACAATCAAGCGGCATTACAGTGATTTTTTTTTCACAGTGATAATCCTGATTAGAGATTCATGAATCTAACAGCTTCAGGGTGTCCCTCAGTTTAGTTGTTTTACACTTAACGCTCCTCAACCTCCTGCCCGAGGGGAATGGGGCAAAAAGTGAGTGTGCTGGGTGAGTGGGGTCCTTCATGATGCAGTTGTTGTATTCCATCTGTGTGTTCTGTATATACCTACTATAAAAGTATTCAACTACAGCACAAATCTACATTTATTATTGATATAATTAAAAAAAACACATATAAATTGATGAGATTTTGAATGTGGTTAAGTTTCACTCTAAAAAAGCATACCATAGATGTTACAAATTGTTAGTTTTATGTCAATAAAAGCTAAAAAAAAAAAAATTCCTTCAGTTTTTCACATTACTGGACTTTCTATTTACTCCTTTATTTATCTGACACGTAACGCGCATCTGTACTGCAGTGTTATTATTCAAAAAGCTTATTGCTCATTGGTCCAGTGGTTTTTATCATAAGTCTTCACATTATTTACTGCTCATGCTTGTTCTAGATACGTTTGACAAGACATTTAAATCAAGACATACATGCAGAGAAGAACAAGAACAGCTTCTTTCTTTCAGGAAGTTGTTTTCTGTCAGTGGGAAGGCCCTGTAGGAAGGGGTGGCTTGCTGCACAGCTGACTTCCTTCATCAGAACAAAACAATGCTCTTTAAGGTGCTTCATACCAAACACCTGAGATAACCTGAGAAGTCGCTTGTTTTTAGCCCTTGAATGCTGTTTGACTCCAAACAGGTAAGACATTTCAATTAGTAGGTTTCACGAGTTCTGATTTTTCTCTGAGAAACTGAAGCCACCTGTTGACAGAGAGGCAGATGATGGAGCTGCATTTATTCTCAATTCAGCATCCACAAGATTCAACAAGTTTTTGTTTGCTTTAAGAATAAAGATCCATCTTTGAAAACCAATTTTTAACTAGTTTGAACCAAAACTAAAATGAGAAAATTACCCCACGAGTGTCGAGACTAAGAACATACTGTATGACAATATCATTTTGCTTTACATAAAATTGACATCCACTTACATGTGTTGTGATTTATATAAAATTCACGCAATCCCAGTAAAAAAAATAAAAAGAAAAAGAAATACATTTTTTAGCAAGATGGTGGCTTCCTGGTTCCTGGTGTAAAAGAAGGCATTCCATAGAGCCACTGAGCTGTGACTCACGCCACTGTTTAGAGATAAAAAATAAAATCTTCCTTCATCTTGAACAACAGCTTGCTTTGCTATGCTGACATTATGTTTTGATTGAGTCTTGCAATGACTCCCAGTTGTAGTAAATTATAATTAAGATGCTAAATAACAAGTGTATTTGCAGTAACACTTTCTACATTTTGCTTCCAATTGATACAGTAAAAGTCTTATATAATTGTAAACACCTTAAATGGTGCCACATTCATTAGGAAAATGCATTTGCAGCAAAGTTGAGTAAATGGGTTGCGCTCGTGTAAAACTTGCCAAATTAATTAAAATTGCATATCCTCATATTTTTGATCCAACTTGGACTTTCTGTGTGGTGTCCGCAGACAAAATGCAGGACATGCTGGTGAGGCTGAAGACAATCCGTGACGAGCAGGAGGATCATCAGCCAAAGCTTTCTGAACATGACAAGTATCCAGTAATTCTCAGTCAGGTCATCTGGACAGTTTCTTTTTTTTTTATAGAGACGTTTCGCCCTCTATCCAGATGATTGAGCATGAACTTTGATGACAAATATGATGACAATGAGACTTTTAATCAGCAGGCTGTCATCTGAGAACTCCTCACCTGTGGATAGTATCCTCATGTAGGCCCTGACAATACGCAAGGAGATCTCCTTGCTTTGCTAGGAGGTGCAGCATCTGGATGTCAACAATGAACGCTACGCCACAACGGTCAGCTGCTTCTCTATTCTGAAAAAGGACTCTGATGTCATCGCTAGAAGAATACAGCATCGAGGGGAGTCTGTGTACGCTCATTTACAGGTTCTGAGTGAAAAGAGCAAACAGCTGGAGGAGCAAGAGGGTGCCAGCTCGGCTGTTTGTTGCATCGACCGTGCTCAGCATGACATGCTGACCCATGCCTTCCAAGCTGCCATGAGTGACTACAACAAGGCAGAGGAGAAGCAGAGGAAAATATGCAAGAAGAGGATCCAAAGACAAGCCTCCATCCTGGGGAAATGGTAAATTGACTGTACTTATATAGCACCTTTTTGTCTTATCAAGATACTCAAAGTGCTTTACACTACAATCTGTGCACTCATTTACCCATTCATACAGCACTCATACTAGATCTCTACAAAGACTAATCAGTGCTTTATCACATTCATACACTGATGGGACACATATCGGAGTCAATGAGGGATTCAGTGTCTTGCCCAGGAACACTTGGGCATGTGACTGCTGGTGGAATCAAACCCCCAACTCTTGCATTGGAGGACAACTGCTCTAACCTCTCACCACAGTCGCCCCCCAAAAAACTGAAAGACACCAGTGACGAGCAACTGGACATGCTGGTAGATAAACGTAGCGAGGGCTGGACCAAGCTGTCCCAGGACCTTCACCCACATGGTACAGGCTCGTGCCGGACGGCCTTGAGTGACATCAAGGGCAGACACAAGGAGCTGGAGGCCCCGCTGAAGGAGGTCCAAGAACTGTTCCTGCAGATGGCCGCTCTGGTAGAGGAACAGGGGTCTATTTTAAATAGAACTGAGGTTAACGCGTGCCGCACCCTGGAGTGCATAGAAAAAATCAACTATGTCAAAAGAGTCATAGCATACGAGAAGAAGAACCCTTCGTTTACAGTGTTGTCCCGTTCTGGAGAAAAAAACAAATTATTTTAGAATTGGTTTGTGTAATTAATTGAATTTTATTTTTTTTAACTTACCATAAATTCTGATAAAAGAAACGGAACCATACAGAGGTTTATTTCATGGGAACTGTAGCTTTCACAGAGAACCTGATACTTGGCATGAGGAAGGTTGGAAACTGTTTGTATTACTGCCATAACTGAAGATGAACATTTGTGGTAACTTTGTTATTTCCGTCAATCTAAAACCTTACCTCCATGTGAATAAAGTAATGTGCGTTTCCATAAGACGATACTTTACAGGGATGATGTTTCAGGTTGTATGTAACTGTATTTTAAGCTGTGACACCAAATCAATGCTGTTGCAGTAAATCATTTTGACTAAACATGGATTTAATTAGAGCACAGCCTTGAGAGAATGAAGTCCAAACAATATTTAGACATTTGTTAGAACTAAAGTCATGTGAAGGGGTATAGATAGAAAAGAAGTTAGCAAATCTCAGCTACAATGCTAAATACAAGCTTCTGATGAGTAAAATAAACTTTAGTGTTATAAAATGCAAAGTTATCAAATAACAGATTTTGACATGGACAATATTTCATTTATTGAGCTTTAAAACTAAGATCTTAGTTACTCCCAGGCCTATTTAACAGAATAATGAACACATTTGTCTGTAAGTAGAACACTGTCTGAGTCACTGATATTGACTACTTCCTGAGATAAAATCAGTTTGAGTTATGGCTCACAGCTTTAACAAGACAGCATGTGGATGAAAAGACGCCAGTTGTTGCTTCCCACTGCCAAAGGGCAATCATGGTTTTGCTTGTGTGTGTGTGCATAAGTTTTTGTCCATAACGTTAGTGAAAACCCTCTTAACAGAATCAATGAAACTCTCAGAAGATATTCACTGAATGTACTGTACTGATTTAAACTTTATGAGTTATCCCAATTCAAGATGGCTGTCACCTCAGCCAACACAAAAATGGCCATAACTCAGTCAAATTTAGAGAAATTGAGCTAAATCTTGGTTATCGTTATCTTTTGATGAATATTAATGCAAATGCTTGAAGTCAGTATTTTGCAATGCATTGTACATGTCCACTTCTGTTTCGTTGACATGTAATCATCTTTCATTTGTTGTTTGTATATTTGTTACGATCTCTGACTATGACCTCATTATTCTAAAGTCTGATGTTTCATCAGTGTGCTCACTTTTATCAACGGTGGGTCTTTCCTCTTCTTTCGGCTGATTCCTCTTCAGGGGGTCGTCACAGCGAGCCATCCTTCTCAGTTTCACTCACTCTAACTATCCCCATGTCCTCTCTGTGTCCATATATCTCCTCAATGGCCATCCTCTTAGTCTTTTCTCAACAGTTGGTGTTCTACCCAGTGACGTGCGGTGAGGTTTGTGACAGGTGAGGCACTGACTCGTCTGGAATTGGAGGCTTGCATACAGTAAATAAACGCAAAATAGAAGCTTATATATCAATTTAGCTTTTTTTTTTTTTCCTTTTAAAAAGGCATCCAATTATGCTTTAATCAACTCCATACTCCTCTCTTTAAAAAACAAAACATGTACCGGTATTATCTTGCCTTTATTTAAAGATGAATGAGTTTGGAAAAATTATGACGAGTTTAGAAAAATCCTTTAGTTTTGAGATATAATTTTCCACCCCCGCCCCTCTATATAACAGAAGAACGTATAGCAACATTTCATTGTCTTTTTGGGGCAGCACTGCCCCCTATTGGTGCAGCACAGTACTTTCTGCCTCACCCTGTGTATTTTAACCTTGCATTAATGACCGATTAGAAAGAAGAAATATGTCACACACATTCATTCAATATAAATTAGACAGACTGTATGTCAGCATGTGTAGCACATGTGCAATTAAACATGTATATTGGCGCTAAAAAGAGAGATGGCAATGAGCATGCGCCTATCGCCTACTTCATATGTTGTATATGACACAGCGCCACCGGAGGTGAGCGAGAGCACTACACTGCCTCACCTGCATTGTTTGAACAGGGAATGAGTAAATTCTGCCATTTTGACTATTGAAATAATTCAGAAAATAGTTTTATAAAACAGTTTTATAGAACAGACAAGTGGTCAAATGTATTTTCTCTTATCATTGTTAGTATTTTACTTGTCATGATGACAGGAGAGGCACTGCCTCCCCTGAATGCATGTCACTGGTTCTACCAAAAGTAGCTTTTAATGTATATGGGCATGTGGTGCCTGACTTTATGCATGTGCGTTATAAAGGTTCAAAAAACCAGGCTGGCCTGACTAAAACACCTGAATACAACATTAAACTGGATTATCCTAATACCAATATCCATATGGTGCTTAAAAAAAAAAGGTTAAAATACCAACTCTGTGCCTATGAAGAAGCCAACATGTAGTTACTGTAGCTGGACTAAGTTGGGACATTAAAGCCTTTTCAGCAGTGACTAGAGGATGCCATTTTTTCAGGAGTCCTGCAGGTCACGGGATTCCCGCAGGATTCCCGCAGGACAGGAGTCAACTTATATAACTCACAGGATTGGGATGGGACAGAACAAAAAGTTAACAGGACCAGACTGGAGTGGGAACCAATCAATAGGCCATAAAAGAAAATGGGAAAAAAAATAAAAATAAAATACTTTGGACAGGTGCTGCTATTTTGTAGTTTTCTTTCAATACGCCTTCACTCTGGAATACCAGACTTGCTCCAGTCTGTAAATGATGCCATGAAGTCTGGTGAGCTGCATGACACCGTGCTTCGCCGAAACAAGCTCGTTATGTGAACTTCTTGAGGACGCCATCCAATGTATTTTAATGCCTTTAAGCATGTTTATTTGTCGAGTTATCTCGCTTGGTACATTTTTTTGTTGTTGTTTTATTTAACCTATAAAGTGGTGACTAGCCTCTACAAGTCTCTGAAGACAGACACTCAGGAAACAAACAAACAAACAAAAATAACAACTAACCTCGGAAATAATTAAAGTGCAATTATATAATGCTCAGATTATAAAACTTTGTTATGACATGAGTTAAAAACAAAACAACTCGTGATTTAACATTTTAGGCTCAAAAACAGAGTGGCCCAAATGTGTTATGGCCCCATTTTATTCAGGTGCATAAAAAAAAAAAAAAAAAAAAAAACTTTAGCGTTGGGATTTAATTATGATGCACAACAGGTAAAGTAACATAATGTGCTGGTAAAAGTTTCTAGAAGGACTAAAAACAGAGCCATCTATGGACGGTTCCTGTGATTAGACTGGCCCGTCCAGTTTGTATTAGTCATGCGTTGTAGGTAGAAATAGAAAGCAGCCGTGTTTAGTTTCGCATCTGCAAGCTTTCAGAAGGCTGGTTTGGTTATTTCTAAGAGGATAAGTTCACAAATGACTCCATGATTATTTGACAGTACAGTTTTTGCTCGCTTCACGCGTCTGTGTGTTTGCAGCGGGTTTTCCGTCCCCGAACGCTCCGTTGTTTGTCGCAAAACCGCTGCTTGAACGCCTGCTCTCGGTTAGCATATGCTAACGCTAGCGTTATTTTCAAGATGTATTGCAACGATCGATAATGCGAGTATTATCACTTGTACATTAGCGGTTTTGTATTTTTTGAGAGGTTATTTTATTTTTTTTTCAGTCGAATTTATCAAAGCGGTAGTTAAAAACTGTGGAAGTGGGCGGTTACTCACAAACACTCCCGAAGTTATCGACTAGCAATAATGCTACTGTATGAGTTTGCTGCTAGCTGCTAATGCTACTTTAGCATCATATACAGCATAACTAAAGATTATTAGGTTTGTTCCGTTGACATGCAACGATGTATATAACAGCACACATTAAAAAAAAGAAGTCGCTATGAAGATTTTCACTTGTGTGTTTTTTGAATCGGATGTTGTGTCGGATGCAGTGTATGTACCAGGATGGCCGAGTGGTTAAGGCGTTGGACTTAAGATCCAATGGACATATGTCCGCGTGGGTTCGAACCCCACTCCTGGTAGTAATTTTTGTCTGCGTTTCTTTCAGAATGTCTGCAATACCTTTTACAAACGAAAGATCTTTACAGGATTACATCCGTAAAGGTAGGATTTAGTCAATAATGTGGATCTTTAAAATAGAAACGCAAAAGGATTACGCGAGTAACCACACCTTAACTGTTAAATAAACATTTCATAACCAGCGTAGGCTACAGCTATGTATTTAAATCACTTTCATTTAAATGGCTTTTAAAAAAAATTGTATTATTATTTTTTCGAAACATGTTTTGCTTTAAATTTACTAGCCAAGATTGACAAAAATGTCATAAAAAATTGACTTTTTGTCTTAAAGGTGTACAGCATTCTAGAAAAGTGACTCATGTTGTTAAATAGAAAATATTCAAACAAGTGCAATATTTAATTTAATATCATCTACATTTCTTAAAAATTATAATACGAATATCAGTTGATTTGTAAAGCACTTTTAAATAACTTAAAATGCATGCGTTTATTTTTAACAAATTTAGGCGTAGGTACACAAAAGGACCACAAGAGGGCGCCTTAAGGTTTTGCTATACTTTATGTCTAAGACCAGACTTCCTGAAGTTACACACTCCTGTAATTTCACTGATTGGAAAATGCCTCTTTTCACCTATCGATATCTAGTAATCTGCATCTACCGCAGGATAATTTCCAGAGGCTAGTTGGGGCAGTTTGTCACAGATTATTCATCTAGAAGCTGCTTTAGGAAATGTTCTCAACTCATTAAAAGTCCGTGTTACAGTGATTTAAGATGAAGTAACTAAAATGTATTGTCTGTGTATGTTTGTGACAAATTAGATCAAACAGCTGTGTCTTGAAATGGCCTCAGAGAGCATAGCTTTTCACATTTAATCTTTCCCAGTGTGTTCTGATTTTATCAGTGAGCATTCACACTTGCCTTCCTGGTCTCACCAAAGAACAAATGTTGTCACATGATAGGTGTTGGAGGCCTGAGACGGCACCAGTTTTGGGAATCTGAGCCTTTTCTTTGAGCCGTGCGAGGAAGCTTCAACAAAAGAGTCGAGAAGCGAGAGGCAGGAGGATAATTGTTTACAACGAGAAAACATCTTGGCGTTTCCAAAGCCCCAGAAACTGTTTCCAGTAGCTCCCCAGAGTCCATTAGCTGATCTCTGGGCGCTCCAAAAGTTGTTGCTTTTCAGGCTCACACCAGTGAATATAATGTGAAACCTGATACAGGAGTTAGTGGAAGGATGTATTGTAATGATAATTACTACTTACCATGTTTATTCTTACCCTCTTTTGACATCCATGCACGGAGGATTTTTCTCATTGTAAATTTGCTGTCTGCTTTTTTTAAAATAAATTTATGTGAATAAAGTGAATTAAAACAGCTGATTGATGCACTGCACAGATGATGTTGTTATGACCTGGAGGGTTTAACAATGTGATGCGCTGGAATGCAGCTAATCTTCTCAGAAACCACACTTTTCAAGTACTTTCCCTTTTTTTGTCGCCTATATTTATTGTTTTGGGGTCCTATCATATTTACTAGTTATTTTGAACAACAGTAATTAGAATAAACAATGATATGTTAATTAATTTAACTACTTTCACAGAATTAAAAGGTCAAGCTTGGGCTATATCAGTACAGTACTGCTTTTTGTTGGAATATGGTATGGTATGGTATGAAGTTTATTCATTTAAAAAAAATATGAATATGAATATAATATTGTAATAAACGATAAAAAAAATTGTAAGTTTATTTTCCAGGTATACTTCAGTAATATTTTTTTGGGATACCCTTAGAAGAAATATTTTTGTTAATTTTAGTATAATTTTTTTTTACAAATATTGTTGATTTAGAAAGTCAATAGAAGTAATACATTTCCTATAATTAGATGCAGAACGCTTTCAGAAAACGTACACTTCTTATAATCAGTGTTTCCTTTTGATTTTTGTAGTTAAGAGTCACAGGATTTTGGTGGTGTTAGATCACGTGACCGTCACCGCGCCATGTTTCCATCAGGAAAACTTTTTATTGGCAGAGGGAAGAGCTCCGCGCATGCTGTCAATTTCTTCAAAGCAGATACTGTACTTCCTGTTACCGCCTTCAAAATAAAAGCGACAAATACGATTCTTCACGTTTTATAATTCAATAAACGTACGAATGCTCAAGCGTGCCTTTTGTTACATTTACTTATTCATTACACGTTTATTACCTTGATTTTACTCGAAAATATCAGCAAATAAAACACCCAATTATTTTACTCTAAAAATATTGAATTTCCCAACTTCCGCTGAGCGTCACAAAAGCCGTTGAACTTTACGTCGGCGTAAGCGCAGCCAGCAGGGAGAAAGAGACAAGAAAGCAACAGAAACAAAGTTGTGGGACTCGCACCGCGCCGTTCACCCGTCAAATGTAATTAACATCTTTCTGTTTTCGGGCGACAACCGGTGACAAACTCTTAAAACATCCGGGAATCGTGTTTTGCCTTGTGTTGCATAGAGAAAAGGCGTCTCCTAAGCTTTAAGGGAGGAGGGGGAGCACATCGTGGAGACCGACTGTGCGTGCGGACGGTTCTGTAGCTAAGTTTTAACGTTAGTTATAGTCAAGTCATGTGTCTCGCACCGATGGAAGAATGCCTTAAACTTGTTAGCTTAACACTCGGATCTTTTTTAGCACAACTCACTTTATCCTCGTTGTGAACTTGTTTTGAAGGAGCTCCTGACCCTGTAGCTTGGTGACAGCAGCAGAGGTGAGTGTTTAGATCAATGAAACCGCAATGAATTGATACTTTTTATAACTTTTAACAACGGAATACACGTTCAACTGAAGGGACCAGCATAAAGTGGTGTGCTTTGGAAGGAGGTAAGACAATAAAATAGCATTTGGAGACGATAACGCAGTGTTTTTACTCGACCTGTAGGTGTTCGCTTTAAGCCGTGTTTTAATTGGCTGAGGAAAGTCCTGCTTTAGATCAAACATTAACTTCGACTCTTGTTGCATTGTTTAAAACGCCACTTTTTAAAAAAATTTTTTTTTAAACTAACTCCTGATTCAAATGCTTCAGAGTTCAGACTAAACCTGATTGTGCTACTTGTTTTTTTTTTTTTTGCTAACAGAGAGAGAGAGAGGAACTGAAATGCTGAAGCCACCAGTCATAGATCCTCATAGTTTGTTTTTTTCCTGGAGTTTACACTTGTTGAAGTATTTTTAGGGTCTTACATCACCCCTTTAAGATGTGCAACTCATCACGCTGCTTGGTAAACTCCTTTCATGGCGAGGAAGTGTTTGGGGAGTAAATCAAACCATACAAACCAGATTACACGTCCACACGGTTCAAAGCGGGTTCAGTTTTAGACCCCACCACTTCACGACAAACGAGACATCTGGTTGAATTTGACGCTTGGCAAGCGGTTGACCGATCGATCACTTTGTCGATTAATTAGACAGAATGATGCATTTAAAAAAAAAAATCTTCCGCCACCAACAAGTGGAAGTGCGATGACAGCTTTTGCTGGTGTCTGTGTTGGCAAAATATCTCATGAACAAGTGGACAGATTTGAAAGAAACTCCACAACTAAACAACTTTTACAGTTTTAACTCGGGACGACCGCAGCTGATATATCATTCTTACAGAAATCGTACGATTTGGCAAGGTAGTAGCTGAGACTCATCCCCAACACGTACTCCGAGAGCTCCACCACTCTTAAGTAACCTTAGTAAACGCTAAAATAACTACACCTCAGTCAGTTTTACAAACATTAGGCTAAAGTTTGATGTGGTAGTAGCTGAGAGTCATTCTAAACACATACAGAGCTTATCCGTCTCGCATGTTGTCGCAGTGAGATTGAGCATAATGTTTACAAGGTTTGATCACGATGCCTACAGCTCTGTCCTTTCTCATCATTAGACGACCTCATACACTGTTTATAATGGGAAATCAGAAGAAATTAATTCAAACTGGAAATCTGACCTCTGTTGTGTTTCAGCCCTTCTTCTTCACACTAAGTTTGGTGGGAAAAAAAAACGCAGTTTACCTGAAAGTGTTCACGTGCTCTCTCAGTTAGTAGTGAACGTTTTTGCTGGACCTTTTACAGATCTATAATTGAAGGTGTCGTAGCAGCACGACCTTGAAGCAATCGTGCGTTCACCATTTGGACGGGGCTGTTCACGTGCTCCATGAAGCGTCGGCGCCTTTGCGCACGTTGAAATACAAAAATCGCACCGACCGCCGGCGCGGAAACTACAGCCAGTCCAACATCTTTGGTGGCCTCGTTTTAAACAGCGATTTACAATCAATAGAAAATCTATGATGGTTCCAGGAAATTGTTCACATGTAAACTGGGCTTTAGGTTGAAACTCTGGCATGATGGGCGATATGCATTCCTTCAAATAATGCTATGGCTTTTTCATTTTTACGCATACTTGGCATCAGCCATACTCGAGCGTACCACAGCAGAAACATTTGTAGATAGATACAGTAATGTTTGTAACTGTGCCCTCGTTTCAGTGTGTTTTCTGTAAAGTGTGTGTGTGTGTGTGTGTGTGTGTGTGTGTGGGGGGGCTTTCACAGCAGAGGTGTGTTCTGTTTGGTTTGTGACGTCTGTCAACAAACATGCCAACAAACACCCCCCCCCCCCCCCACACACACACTCAG